CTACAATTTTGACAGGCGTAGGAAAAGGTGAAAATATTATTATACCACGGATCCCTATAATTCCCACAGATCTTCCTTTTCAATTCAAAAGGTTGCAGTTCCCTATTAAGTTCAGTTTTGCAATGACAATTAATAAAGCGCACGGGCAAACGTTACAGGTAGCGGGGGTCAACTTAGAAAAACCGTGTTTCTCTCATGGTCAGCTGTATGTAGCATGTTCGTGTGTGTCAAATGCCCAGAATCTCCACATTCTTTTCCCGAATGGAAAAATATATAACACTGTGTACAGTAGCGTCTTAAAATAGTGTTCAGTTAGTTTTTTTTTTTCAAAATTCCCACAATCAATTAATCAGAATTCCCAGAGATCTTCCCTTTCAATTCAAAATTTCCTATTTAGGTCAGTTTCTTTTCAATTCCAAATGCTGTACCTCTGACGGACCTATTAAGCTCAGTTTCCTTTCAACTCAAAAGGCTGCATCTCTGACGGATCTTTTATTTGGCTCAGTTTCCTTTCAATTCAGAAAACTGCATCTCTGACGAATCAATTTAGCTCAGTTTCTTTTCAAAAGTCTGCATCCCTGACGTATAATTATGCTCAGTTTCCTTTAATTAAAAAATATCCCATTTCCATTTGGAATAAACAGGCTATTTTCATGCTTTCCTATACTTTTAATTTTGCTCAGTTTCCTTTTAATGGCTGCATCTCTGACAAATCTATAAAACTCAGTTTTCTTTCAATTCAAAAAGCAATGGAAAGTTCATTTCCCCGTGATCATGCGGGCGAAGCCGCGGGTAACAGCTAGTCAATTATAAATTGAAACGTACGGGCTTTTTTGAAATACGGCTGCTACGCGTGGTGTAGCTGAGCGGGCGATCAACTATATTCGCTCCGCTTATGTTAATATTACAGTCTTTTAAAGAAATATCCTTATCACTACTATTATCTACGTTCGTTATTACATCTCTACCGGGCATTTGTATTAGGAAAACTTTTCCTTTTCGTTCCAAAATTTTGAAAGGCCCCTCGTATGGATGTTGTAATGATTTCCGTACGAGGTCACTTTTAACAAAAACGTGCATGCAGCTATTTAAATCGCTATGAATAAATACTGTACGGGAGTTCTTATGTGCCATAGGCTTAGGTTTCAGCTCGCTTATCATCTTTCGTAAACGTTCGACATATTCGCTGTGATTTAAAAAATTTTAATTACATTTATCACCAAAAAAATCTTCTGGTAGCCTTAAAGATTGACCGTACGTTAATTTGGCGGTACTAACGCCAGTGACTGAACGCGGGGCTGCTCGCAGGCCTAACAAAACTATAGGTAGTTCCTCAACCCAAGTCTTACTATCCAACCTGGCCATAAGCGCGGCCTTAAGAGATCTATGCCACCTCTCAACCAACCCATTGCTCTGCGGGTGGTATGGAGTAGTCCTGCTTTTATAAACACCTAAATATTTCATTAAATTTTGAAAAACATTGCTTTCAAACTGTCTACCCTGGTTGCTGGTAAGCTGAACTGGGCAGCCAAACGCGAAATCCACCCTTCGAAAATTACCTTAGAAACTGTTTCTGCGGATATATCCCTTACTCGAAACGCCTCTGGTCAACCAGTCTGTCGATCTATTATTGTGACGAGATGCCTATAGTCTTGCAAGGAAATACTAAGTGGACCAACGATATCGACATGAATGTGAGAAAATTTTTCCGCCAACGGAAAGCTTCCTAGTTCCGATGTATTATACCCATAAACTTTAGCACGTTGACATGCAATTCTTTGTTCATATTAACCCAGAAAAATCTTTCACTCATTAGCTTACGCGAGGTACGGATTCCGGGGTGGCTAAGACTATGAATAGAGTCGAAAGCTAAGCGTCTAAATTGTTCCGGTAAATATGGCTTCCCCCAATTGGTAGACATTTCACACCAAACGGGTAAGTCGCTGCCAGGAATACACATTTGCTTAAAATGCCACTTATTAGGATTGATAGGAGGGATCTGTGACAGCAAACACCTGGCCGCCGAGCTTCAGCACGTCAAGCAGGTTCTGCACGACAACAAGCTTCGGGTCCCGCGCCTCCGTCACAGTGACCGAGTGAAGCCGGCCACAGTCGAGCGTGTGCCTGCTATACTACCATATGTCAGAGGTGTCACAGACAAGATTGGCTACATCTTGAAGCGAGCTTCTATTGGAACATTCTACAAGCCGCTGAAGAAGATTAGTCAGTTCTTACCATCCGTCAAGTGTCACATTCCTCTACAAGATGCAGGAGTGTACAAGCTTGATTGTGATTGTGGTCTCTCACATATAGGGCAAACAAAGAGATCTGACGTGACGCATCAACCTTCCGGGAAGTCTGCAGTTTGCGATCATATTCTAGATAGCCCCAATCATTACATCAGATTTGATAGACCACAAATCCTCGCGAAAGAACATCGATTCCTACCAAGGATGATACGTGAGGCTATTGAAATTAAAAAACATCCTAATTTCAATAGAGAAGGAGGCTGGGTACTACCACCTGCTTGGGATCCTATAATTAATAAAATTAAAACTAAACCCAAGCATATCACTGCAAGACTTCAAAATACAGTTAGTTCATTCTGCGTAGATCGGACCAAAAACAATAATTAAAAAGCTGAAGGTACTCCGGGTTAACTTTGACATCGGGACGTCAGTCACCTCAGTCTCCCGTGACCAATATACAGTAATCTATGCCCGTGACCATGGGTGCTGGAAAGCACCCGAAACGTCGGGTATTAAAAGTAGTTTTAATCAATGTATAGTGTTCGCGTAAATATAAGAAAGAATTATGTAAATCTGCATATCGCCATGCAAAAACTACAAGATGATTTTTCACGCCTCTCTATGTGGGCTCACGATCTAGGACTTGTAATAAATATACAAAAAATTAAGGTACTACACATTCATTCTAGTCATATCAAGAATATTATGCCAGTAAGCATTATTGCTCATAATCATCTTTGTCTGCACAATATAAAAAAAATCCCACTTGTTAAGTATCACATATACTTAGGACTGATTATAGATAATAGTATGAACTGGAAGAATCATATTGATTACGTGTGTAGTAAATTAATAAAAATTCTTTTAAAATAAAATTTTAAAATAATTAAAATTCTTCTAAGCCTATATAATGCTCTAGTGGAATCGATAGTATCGTATGGTCTTAGTAGTTATGGACGAACTTTCCGCACTTACCTAGATAACATTTACAGCTTACAAATAAGAATTTTAAAATCTATATTGCCTCAACACATTAAGGACAAATATCGAAATGATTACTCATACCTTTTCACGTACTGCAAAGTTTTACCCATACATAAAAAGGTGAAATATATGATCTTAAAAGAATGTTATGAATACTCGATGTACCCAACCCCAAGGGAACGCATTTATAGCACTAGAAATAAAACACCTTATTCACCAATTAGAACTAATAATTACTACGGTAAGAGAACACGTAAATTTCTAATACCATACATATTAAATTCTATACCTACGGAGATAAGAAGCCAGCTAACCGCACAAAATTTGAAAACAAAACTTAAACATTTTTTAGCATAATAAGAATTCAAAAAAATATCTATATATATTATTCCAATGAGAATCATAACGAGCTATATCTATCTATGCCAATAGTTGTTAAATTGGACAAATAAACAAAACGTGTTACAGAATAAAATACATGAAAAAAAAAATATTCCTTAAAAATACACTCCGTGTGTACGCGCATAAATAAGATAGTACAGTATACCGGATAAGCGAACAACTGAAGACAACAATCACGTTTTTACTTCACTACTCCTGGTAAACAATACCAAAAACTACCTTCTCCACAAAAAAATAGTTTAAGAGATACATATTATAGATTTTATATAAATTTTTTATGCCAAAATATTTTAATCATTTGTAGCACAATTGTTTCATAGTACTTTATATGTAGTTTAAGTAAAAGTTAATTCCAATGTCATTTAAATAATAAGCTTAAGTAAATTAATGTATAATTAAGAGCAAACTGTGCAGTGCCAAGACAAACAATAGATGTTTAATGGCACGAAGAAATTGATTTTGTAATTAAAACTGTTACTTTGTTGAATAAATAAAAAAAATTGATTTTTGTAACAAATTTATTCAGTGTAATGAAATTTCCAATTAAATATAATTCTTACATTATAGTAATGCATGTGGTTAAAGTTATTAAATTGATTTTGAGTGTAAATGAATTTTCCAATGGAATGTAAGTCTAATATTTATAAAAATGCATGCACTTAAAGCTATTAAAAATAAATTTCTAACAAATTTACTAAGTGTAATAAATGAGGAATAAAAGGCTATTTTATTTATTTATTTTATAAGAGATAGCGTTTAATTACATTTTTATTACGCGTGTAACAACTGATCGTTACTGACTCACAATTCAATTACATAAGTACTATACTAAGTGTAGTTACATACTTAAGACAAACAATCCCTCGGTATATTATCTTCGTGTAACTCCAACGGTTTAGGCAGCGCAAGCCAAGATAGCTCTCAGAGGGCAGGAACTTTTCCGACTTACTTGATATTTATCATTATATTATGGCCAAATTACACAAAATCTTTATAAATTGTAGCTTATGTATTATTCTGATGTATAAACTATATTACTGTAACCTAATCTAAATCCGTTCAGTAGTTTTTACGTGAAAGAGTAACAAACATCCATCCATACTTACAAATTTTCGCGTTTATAATAGTAGTATCTATGGTATGGAGTGTCTCCATGCATGGAGGTTTCTCTAACCTCCATGGACCAAAGGCCAACCCAGTAATCTATGGACCAACCAAAGACTATAGCGATTTGACAGACAGACTTACAGAAAGAGAAAACGGATCGTTGCACTTATATCGGTGTAACGCTAAAATTCGTACAGTAAAAACAGAAGTTTTCTATGGATTTAGAAAAGTTTGAATTGTACTTATAAAATTTTAAATATGTTTTGGAGCGGTAATTTCATCTTAGTAAGGGAGATAAATAATCTCCTAAAAGAGGAGGTATGTATTTTGATGCAGGAATTCGTGGTTATGAATGGTTGTAGAAATAAGTTTTGGCCGAAATTTAACAATCTACTTAATAGATTTTATTGCATCTATTATGCTTTTGAGGAATTAATATCTAATCGTGTTAATTTGTATAAAAATTCCTGTAGAACAATATTGCGGTGTTTTATAAGAATGTTGTTTTGTTATAGAATGTAACACTGGCTCAAGTGTTGGAGGCGGATAATATTCTTCAAGAATGTAAGGCGGATAATAAAGCACTTATACTTTTGTAAGTGACTCTCTACAATAGTACTTTTAAAAACGAATATTTATTAATTTAGATATGCAATGGTGTAAGTTTTGCATTGGTAATGCATAATAATTATTTTTGATATTGACACGGTTATAGGCGAAAATGTAGTGTTCTGATTACAAGTTATGTTAACTATCAAGTGTTTTAATCTTCTTTGCTCTTATGCATATACTTTATTAACTACAATGTTTATTTATTTGTTAAAATTGCAGCTTAACAAAACCAGAAATACTAGGAGAGCTTGTGACTCTCATTACAGAGGAGCCCCCTAAAAATGTGGATATGACATCACAATACCGCCATGCCCACATTGCTAGTGAGGTCCTCACCAGCCAGATTATGATGTTAAGTGACAGGCTTTCTATGGATGTGGTGCAGATGAATCGGCTATGTGACTTTGTTAATAAGGACCCACCCTTAAACCCCTTACTGGCATCATATTTTAGTAAAACAATTGAAATGCTACTTGAGAAGAGTCCTAAACAGGTATGACTAGGACCTTTTATTTTTATTAACTATGTGGCAAAGTAATATTTATTATAAGTGAAAACAATTTTATACTTTTTACTAATATTATAATATTTATATCAATAAATAAATTGATCAAATAATTTATAGCAATTATGCCAGTTTGCACAATGAAATTATTGATTATATTTTAGACTTGTACATGTTCTATTGTCATTCATCTTTAAATTAGAGATGGGCTGAATATGGATTTCACTGAATACGAATATTCGGCCGAAAGTTCAGTAAAACTTTTACCGAATTGAATATTCGGCTGAATATTATTCGGCAGGATCACCTTGGTACCTAACCAATTTATGTCGAAACTTGTTGCCGTAAAGCGCACGGGATTAGCACCAGACTCTGTCCTTCGCTGCCCCTTCACACCTGACATGTTATTACATCATCTAGTACTGAATTTCCGGCACATGCTTATGTTTTTAGTATTCTGGTAAGAAAAAAAGTATTTTGTTGTGTAATTCTTAGTGAGAATTGATAATTATATGATAAAAATTAGTGGCAGGTGATCTACTATATGTAATGTAATGTTTCTTTGTTTGATTCCAGAAATATTTTATCTCGCTTTCTATTTGCTATAATTGGAAATGAATCTACACTACCTCAAAAACATAACATTTCAAGTGGATTTAGCCCATAAGTAAAATATACTTCCAACAATAAAATGAAAGACATGGCATTACTCAATTCATTAATTTCAATACAGTGGACACTTTGAGTACCACTTTAACAAATGTTCAGTGATTTAGCCGAATATTCGGCCGAGTATGAATATTCAGTAAAGCTGCCAAATATGCCGAATACTGAATATGAAATGAATATTCGGCCCATCTCTACTTTAAATGATGAGAAATGTGAGATTATTAGGATATAGACATTATGAAATTAGTTAACATAATGAATTTGAGCATAAAAATATAAATTATTTTTAAAACAGCTTGGTAGCACAGTGGCTAAGTATCTAGCTGAAGGTAGCATGTTCACAAATAGTACAAATTGTTGGTCTGGGATCAGATGTTGATCTTGTTCATGTACAATTTATGTATCTAAATATCTCCACAATGCAAGAGAAAATCCTAGCATAAATACCCTTTATTTTTAAAATAAAAAAATTACAAATTGTACAAATAATTCAAGATGTTTCAATATTTAAGTCACAATTCAAGACAATCCAGAAAGAACTTTATAATATACATTTTAGTCAAATCTATATTATAAAGTTCTTGATAGTTGCAAATCAAAGTAAGTGTTATTCATGTTCAGTAATTTAATACTCAACTGAAGGTCTACGAAAAATCATCTCGTTTTTTCTATTTTGCACTTATTGGCCAATTTTAAGTGTACATGTATATAATGATTTCTTAAATTTACACGAACACTACACATTGAATAAAACTAAATTTATGGATTTTATCGCGTTTATTTCACTACTTTTACTTATTTTTAATTCCCGACGTTTCGGGTGCTTTACAGCAACCATGGTCACGGGGGGGACTGAGATGTTTGACGTCCCAATGTCATTGTTAGCCCGGCTACCTTCAGTTTTTGAATATTAATTTTTGGTCCGATTTACGCAAAACGAACTTACAGTATCTTGAAGTCTTGCAGTGTTATGCTTGGGTTTGGGTTTAATTTTGTTAATCATAGGATTCCAAGCAGATGGCAGCACCCAACCATCTTCTCTATTGAAATTAGGATGTTTTTTAATTTCAATAGCCTCGCGTATCATACTTGGTAGGAATCGGTGTTCTTTTGCGAGGACTTGTGGTTTATCAAATCTAATGTAATGGTGGGGACAATCTTGAACATGTTCACAGACTGCAGACTTCCCGGAGCGTTGGTGCTTCACATCAGCTATATGTTCTTTCACGCGGGTTTTTATGGATCTTTTTGTTTGACCTATGTAAGAGAGACCACATTCACAATCTTACTTGTAAACTCCTGCATCTTGTAGAGGGATATTACACTTGACGGATGGTCATAGCCAACCTTGTCTGTGATTCCTCTGACATATGGTAGTACAGCAGGTAAACGCTCGACTGTGGCCGGCTTCACTCGGTCACTGTGACGTAGGCACGGGACCCGAAGCTTGTTGCCTTGCAATACTTGCTTGACATGCTGAAGTTCAGCGGCCAGATGTTTTCTGTCACAGATTACACAAAGATTTACCCACGGTAGCTAACTGTGAAGGATGATGGTGAGATTCACCATTTAAATATCGGTTGGTATGGGTCTTTTTCCTATACACAGTGTGACCAATTGTGTTATTAGGATTTCGAATGACTAAAACATCTAAGAAAGCTAAAGAATTATTTGCCTCTAACTCCATTGTGAATTGCATTTTAGAGTTTATAGAGTTAAGTTGGTTTAGAAATGCAGTTACTTTGTCAGATGGTAAAATTGTGAAAGTGTCGTCTACGTACCGCTTGTAGAATCTTGGATTTACAGGAGCAGTAAGAAGGGCTTTCTCCTCGAAGTCCTCCATGAATATGTCGGCGACTATTTTAGATATAGGTGAGCCCATCGCCACACCATCTACTTGCTTGTAGAACTCTTCCTTCCACAATAGATAGCCAGATGTGAGGCAGTGTTTGAGTAATACTGCATATTCAGCAGGCATGTTATTATCTTCTAGCTTCCTAGTTACAATTGATATGCAGTCTTCAATAGGTAGGCATGTGAATAGTGACTGAACATCAAAACTGACCATAGTTTCAATGTCAGCGAGATGTAGGTCTTTTATCTCACTAACAAAATGGTATGAATCCTTTGTGTGTGCTCTAGTATGTCCTCTCAATGGTGACAATACTTTTGCCAAGTGTTGTGCCAGCTTATAAGTTGGTGAATCGATCTGGCTCACTATAGGACGTAGTGGAGCGTTTGGTTTGTGTATCTTCGGTAACCCATACAACCTCGGTGGTTTGGTACATGATGGTATTAGCGAATTCACGTCGAGATTCGATCGAAGCAAGTATTGCAAGACAACAAGCTTCGGGTCCCGTGCCTACGTCACAGTGACCGAGTGAAGCCGGCCACAGTCGAGCGTTTACCTGCTGTACTACCATATGTCAGAGGAATCACAGACAAGGTTGGCTACATCTTGAAGCGAGCTTCCATTAAAACATACTTCAAGCCGCCGAAGAAGATTAGTTAATTTTTACCATCCGTCAAGTGTAATATCCCTCTACAAGATGCAGGAATTTACAAGTTAGATTGTGAATGTGGTCTCTCTTACATAGGTCAAACAAAAAGATCCATAAAAACCCGCGTGAAAGATCATATAGCTGACGTGAAGCACCGACGCTCCGGGAAGTCTGCAGTCTGTGAACATGTTCAAGATCGTCCCCACCATTACATCAGATTTGATAAACCACAAGTCCTCGCAAAAGAACACCAATTCCTACCAAGGATGATACGCGAGGCTATTGAAATTAAAAAACATCCTAATTTCAATAGAGAAGATGGTTGGGTGCTGCCATCTGCTTGGGATCCTATAATTAACAAAATTAAACCCAAATCCAAGCATACCACTGCAAGACTTCAAGATACTGTAAGTTCGTTTTGCGTAAATCGGACCAAAAATTAATATTCAAAAACTGAAGGTAGCCGGGCTAACAATGACATTGGGACGTCAAACATCTCAGTCCCCCCATGACCATGGTTGCTGTAAAGCACCCGAATCGTCGGGAATTAAAAATAAGTAAAAGTAGTGAAATAAACGCGATAAAATCCGTAAATTTAGTTTTATTCAATGTACATGTATATTTACTAGAACTCATAACTAATTCTCAAACTATTTTGGGTAAGACACCCATATTCCAAAATGAACTGATACCTCAGACCCCCATAGCTAAATTACTTTAAACATCCTATCTCTAGTTTTATTGCCTATTGATACAAAATGCTTAAAAATTTAAAAATTTGCAGTTGGTTAAGTGGGTGGGTAAACTTGGCATCATTTTCTCATGAAAATTTAACAAAATAAATAGACATAAAATTCAGTAAATGTCAAATATAATTAATAATTATTAATAGAAATTAGGTAAAAATACTTAAGTAGGTAATTATTATTTGAAAAAAAAAAACAGTAAAATCACAAAATACATAAAATCAGTTTTCATTTATCTTTATTAATGTATAACGACGGCTTAGGGTGTACGGTAAAACTCAAAAGAGTTTGTGTTTACACCTTATTAATTGTTATACTTCTTACTGTATGTGAAAAGAAATAAAAATTAATTAATTTATATTGACTCCTGGGAAACCGATTTCAACCCTAACCACTCAAGCGTCCACTGTGACTGTAGTCCCCAAAAAATTCTTGCGTCACTGTCTATGGTGACTACCGTCTCCGAACGACATTGTTCGCTTTAAATGTGTACAGCGCTAAAGACCGATGTTAACAGTGGTAGAGCCATGCGGCAGCTTTGCTGTTGCACGTATGTGCCGGCTCAAACCGGGGTGGTACCAAAACCTCACAGAATACCGGCGTGAAGTGGAAGCTCTACTTCCGCGTTTCGTCTGGTGAGTGCAGGTGGCCGGAGGCCCGAATCCCCCCCCCCATCAACATGGTAGCGAAATTAAATGATAGACTACCCCAGGAGGGTACCAGCACCCCTGGAGAATCCCTCGCTGAGCATCCACGACCATGTTTCTCCACTCCTGAGCGTGGGTGCTCAGGCTGCCCCGCGTATTCTGGGGGGGGGGGGGGGGCAAAATTCCGCTCAAAACTACAACTGCTCGGGGCAAACGGAGGAACAAGACCAAGGCGACCCCTGCCACGCTATCTGTGAATTTCTGCAATATCAGGGGACTTCACTCTAACCTAAACGCCGTCCACTACCATCTCGAGACAGCGAGGCTGGCTCTGCTCTTTCTGACCGAGATGCAAGTGTCCTCTCCGGGTGATGTCTCGTATCTCTCATACCCTGGGTACAAACTGGAACACTCCTTTGTGCCTCGGGCTGGAGTTTGCGTTTACGTCAGAGAGGACATCTGTTTTCGACGCCTCGGCAGACTTGAAGGTTCGGACCTGTCCATCCTTTGGCTACGCGTAGACAACGACGACCATCCGCGCGTCTACGGGTGCCTCTATAGGTCCCATAGCGGTAATGCCGAAACAGACCGACTCTTCGACCACGTCCAAATGGCTACAGATTCGTTGCTACAGCAGATCCCCTCCGCAGAGATCGTGATCCTCGGCGACTTTAACGCCCATCATGCCGAATGGCTTTGTTCACGCTTAACCGATCATCCGGGGAGATCTGTTCATGATTTTGCCTTGGCATATGGTCTGACATAACTGGTTACTTCGCTTGCGCGGATTCCAGATGTGGAGGATCATGCACCTTCCCTGTTGGACCTTCTGCTGACCTCTCACCCGGACAGATATCAGATTTCCGTCGACGTCCCTTTAGGCTCCTCGGATCATTGTCTTGTCCGGAGTGTAGTGCCACTCACGCTGAAATCGCAGTTACATTCTGCAAGCTGCCGCCGTGTTGGCACTATAGGTCAGCCGATTGGGATGGGATGCGGTGTTTCTATGCATCCTACCCTTGGGGGCGGGTTTGCTTCTCGCTGGAGGATCCCAACGTTGTTGCGGATTCTGTCGCTGATGTGGTACTTCAGGGTATGGAACTTTTTATTCCTTCCTCTGTGGTGCCCATTGGAAACAAATCTCAGCCATGGTTTGGTCGCTCCCGTAAAATAGCATCATGCTATAAGCAGGAGTGCTACCAAGCCTGGGCTGACGCATCAACCACCCGGGATATAATCACCAGCGCTCTAAAAAAGAAGTATAATTCCGCCTCTAGAGCCTTCAAAAGAGTCATTGCCGAGGCAAAGTCAGAGCACATAGGCAGAATTGGCGAGAAACTAGTTGGCCTTCCTTCTGGAACCCGTGCATTCTGGTCTCTCGCCAAGGCTGTCCAGGGGAATTTCTGTCAGCCATCTCTTCCATCTCTGCACAGGGAGGTCGACTCACTGGCCCATACCGCAAAGGAGAAAGCCGATCTGCTGGGCTCTTTCTTTGCGTCCAACTCGACTCTCGATGACGGTGGGAGTACGCCGCCGACCATCCCGCGGTGTGGGTGCTCCATGCCGGAAGTGCAGTTCACACAGCGCTCGCTTCGCAAAGCACTCCTCTCCCTGGACATCCACAAGTGGGCCTGACGGAATCCCCCCAATTGTGCTGAGGACGTGTGCTCCAGATTTGGCACCGGTTTTAACGCGTCTTTTCCGGTACTCCTACTCCCTAGGCGTAGTCCCGAAATCTTGGAAGACGGCTTTCGTCCACCCGATCCCTAAAAAAGCCGACCGCTCAGGCCCGTCCAACTACCGGCCTATCGCCATCACCTCCTTGTTCTCCAAAACAATGGAGTCTATTGTTAACTGCCAGCTCATGAGGTACTTTGAGGATCACCAGCTGATTAGTGATCACCAATACGGTTTTCGCCGTGGTCGGTCAGCTGGTGATCTTCTGGTCTATCTAACTCACAGATGGCAGGAGGCAGTAGAGTCCAAGGGGGAGGCATTGGCCGTTAGTTTGGACATTGCGAAGGCCTTCGATCGGGTTTGGCACAAAGCGCTTCTTTCGAAGCTTCCTTCCTATGGGCTCCCCGAGAAATTGTGCGATTGGATCACCAGCTTTCTTGTAGATCGGAGCATCAAGGTCGTTGTAGATGGTGCAAGCTCCGATTACAAGCCTATTAATGCTGGTGTTCCACAAGGCTGCGTGCTATCGTCAACGCTGTTTCTTCTGCATATCAATGATATGTTGCAAATCCGTTAACATTCATTACTATGCAGATGACAGCACTGGTGATGCTCTGTACGCCGGCCGTGCCAATATTTTTCGGGAAAACGTCTCCCGAGTACCGGGGCGAACTTGTGTCTGAAGTCGAGTTTCTGCTGAACAGAGTCTCGGATTGGGGGCGACTAAATCTAGTGCAGTTTAACCCCCAGAAGACACAAGTTTGCGCGTTAACCGCCAAAAAGAACCCCTTTGTCGTATCTCCTTAGTTTCAAGGCACTCCCCTTGTTGCCTCAGCCAGTAACGGAATCCTCGGCGTCGACATATCGAGTGACGTGCAGTTTCGTGGTCACTTGGAAGAGAAGGCTAAATTGGCCTCTAAAAAAGCTTGGCGTGCTCAGCAGAGCGGGACAGTATTTCATGCCGGCACACCGCCTGCAACTTTACAAGGCGCAGGTTCGGCCGCACATGGAATACTGTTCCCATCTCTGGGCTGGGGCTCCCCAGTACCAGCTCCTTCCACTTGACCGCATCCAACGCAGAGCGGCTCGAATCGTCGACGACCGTGTGCTTTCTGATCGGCTCGATTCACTGGCGCTGCGAAGAGATGTTGCATCTCTGCATTTTCTTTCGCATATACCATGGGGAGTGCTCTGAGGAATTGTTCGGATTAATCCCAGCCGCCAAATTTCGTGAACGCACTACGCGGCAAACGTCCCGATACCATCCACACCATCTGGATGCATAGCGGTCCACCACTGTACGTTTCAAAAGGAGTTTTCTTCCGCGTACGACCACTCTGTGGAATAGTTTATCACCGGCGATTTTTCCGGACCGATACGACCTGGGGACCTTCAAGAAAAGAGCCTACTCCTTTCTAAAGGACCGGCAACGCACCTGCAATTCCCCTCCTTGACCAGGTGAGCCTAATGCTCGTTTGCCCCCTCTTCTATAAAAAATAATAATAATAATAGTACAGTACAAAAATAAGAGATGGTGATATTTGAAATTTGTCATCCATGAGAGTGAATTTTATCTTTACAATGGCAACAAAATATTCAGAAAAAAAATGTTAAAATAATAGTTCGCTATTCTTGCTTGTGGACTGTTAAAGTGTGTGAAGCTTAATCAAAAATGTGAATAGTTTTCTGTTTTTATACGTTATTTCTAATGTTATTGTACATCAAATTAATTGTGAAAATATTTCCTTAGGAACGACATTACAACAGTTTTAAAATGTTTACATATAATAATTTAGCTCGAAATTTTAATCACTATATGCGATCTTCGTTTTTTTATTATACGTTGTTTAAAATGTATTATAATCGGTTGTTTTTGGTAAATAAATGCTAAATATAAAATAATGCTTCACTATTAACACGACAATAGCCATTTATAAAAGAAATACCGCACAGCCAAAGGTTTGTGGAAGGCGAGCAAAAGAAGATAAAAGAGATAGGGAGATAAGCTTTTTTTTATAGAAGAGGGGGCAAACGTGTGGTCACGGAGGGGGGGGGGAGGACTGAGTGTTGAGATGTGTCTAGAAATTATTAAAATGCAACTCATGCAATTCATGATTGCGTTGGGGAGTGAATATTTATATTGAGTAAATGTTATATATTTGTCTATACTGAGTAAATAATATTGAGATATTGGTGTTATTTTAAAGGGTATATCATGTAATAATATAAAATAATTGTCTCCAGTAACTATTATATTTTTTTTTTTGTAAAATTCGAAATAAAAAATAAATACGATATTTTTTTTGATATTCCCAACTTCAAGCTTTATTTTCATCCTTTATTTTTAATTTGAGCAATTTTATTTTAACAAAATGGTAGTCTGATTTTTTGAGCTTCTCGTGAATATTTTTATTTGAATATAGCTATAGTAGTTTTATAGAAGTAATCGTTTTTGTTGAGTGTCTCGCGCGATCGTAATAAAAAGGAGGCAGTCATTTAATACGCGGACAGGTGGGGCGAGAGTCACTCTCGTGGCATGGACGCTTGAGTGGTTAAGGGGTCGACATCAACCACTTTGGGAATGCCTGCCCTAAAAGTTTATGACTAATGATGAGGAAAACAAGAGCGACTAATCTCCGTTGTTATCTTTTTGACATTATTTTAGGTCAAAACAACAAATAAGTGAAAAATTTACAGGTGACCTGATTCTTTTGCTCACCGGTGTATTTGATAATTTTTATATCTATAAAAATTTTAATCGTTGATCAATAGTTTACTTCTGTGCAATACATTTGTCAAATCGTTTTTTAAATACTTCCTTAAGTTATATTTATTTGTACTCTTCAGGACTGGTACCTGTACCACATTGTGGTCCACCGTGTTTTGGATTTTTTCAAGTCAAGACGCGATTTCCTGCCGAATCTCTTGCGACATATTTCCACATCAAGTATTGCTGATATCTTTAAATACTTTATAAGGCTTGATGATCCTTTCAACAAAATAGTTTTCGAGGTATAATTTTTATAAAATTAAGCTGTATAGTAAATAAGTGAATCTGTTATTCAATATATTTATTTATGTAATTGGCTGTTACATTTATCCTTATAATATCAATATTTTATTTTAGTGGTTAGAAGAACACCAGTTTCTAGAGAGTCTCATACAAATAATCTGTGGTACTTATGAGTATGAAGAAATACGGCCTGCAAATATTACAGACGGAGCGGAGAGGTCGCCTGAACAAACTGAGAAAGGCCAGCATGAGACTAGTGAGAAAGTTGAATTGAATCATAAACAGGAGAACAAAAATGAGTCAATGGAGAATGTGGCAGGTAGTTTTTGTATAATTGCAGCAATATAATAAGTAATGATTGATCTTATAGTTTTAAATTGCTTTGTTTTTTTGTCCGGAGGATTTAGCATTAATATATTTATAGTCAGTGGCGAAGCCGCCATAGAAGCCCATAAGCCGGGCTTGCTCTATAAAAATGCTCAATCAATAATATCAACTAATAAAATAACTCGTAAACTGTTTCAAACTATTTCAAAGGTCATGACCTCGTAGCATATAATATGTAACGTCAACGCTTGCTAGTTTGCTTTCAATTCGAAATATACAGGACTGTCAAAAGTAAATTAAAGCAAATTAATACATTAAAAATTAATGATTCGATTATTTAAATAATTTTACCGATTATTTGAATATTTTTGCCGATTATTCGCATAACAATGAATTTTAATCATTCAAACACTACGGTAATGTACATAGCGACATATCATTGAAATGACGTCAAGTAAAAAAAGTTGATACTGGTTATTTTTTAATATTTTGCTTTGTTTGAAAGATTCAAATTTAAATTAGTGATAAAAACCTATACACGTTGTAATGAAAATATAGATAACTTCATAATTCTTCGGATTTGCGTAAAATATTATTTTAAATTCTGTGAGTACGCTGGTGCAAAGTTATTGCGGAATGATTAATGTGAAACGTCAAAATGTAGTTCTTAGATTTGGTTGACTATAAAAACAACAAAACCATATCTTGGGCTTGCCCTCTGGAGCCCTAGCTTCGCCACTGTTTATAGTATATAATAAAAGAGCACTATAAGAGAAAATTTTACTTTATTTCAACTTGAGCACATTGTAATAGACATGGTTCCAAAAATATTACTACAGCAGTGACATGGGGTCCAGTGCTCCCATGATGAAACTTTTTTTAAATGTAATAGACATAAATAATAGTGAATATTATAAACTATTTACTATCATTTGTCGTATTAAACACATAGACATGCTAAATAGAATATTTTTTTTTATATAATAGCGATCTGCCTAGCGATCTGCCTATCTTATGAAAAGTAATTTCCTTACTTTTACCTTTGGTTCGTCAAAAACTTATGTTGTGGGAAGAACCACCAAGAACCATGCGGAGATACAAACATTACTTAAGGTGGAAGCGTCGGCCGTCCGTCCATACATTTTTTAACCAAAATATACACTAAACACAGACACTTTTTCTTTAAAAGTAATCATTTTATCAATTTCAAATCAACAATTTTATTACTTATTATTGGTGTGTGGCAACATAAATACCAAAAGTCGTAGGTAGAGCGATGATGCCGTCCTTCCTGACAACAAACTGATAAGAGTACTATTACGTATTCCTGACCTTGAATTGACGAAACAAAAGCGTTGCCAAACTTCGTTCACTTGTTTGACTTGTTATAAAATACATTGTGATTTCGGTTGTCACGCGCTATGATTTGCGCGCGGAATTTCTTGTGTATTATACATATTTTGTATGTATGTTTTCATTGATTCGAATTGCAATATTTCTCTAGTATATATTTGAGACTATATTGTAATTTATCGTAGGTATAGTAATTAATTATTCTAAAAACGCAATTATGTTTTTGGTAGTATTATAAACAGCAGGCTGGCCCGTGATTTTTCTGAAATATCGTCACAATACTGATTACCTACGTCATACGTGTCAGTGTTTCATATATGAATGTGTTTGAATATGTTTTTGGTCAAAATTAAATACAATTATTATAAATCGGTAAACTACCAAAGTAGTCACAAAATTAAACTTGCAAACATTTGCTAAATATGGTTTTGCCGGGTTACATTAAACACCCTTTACGCATTTTGCAAACAGTTTCAGACAGACACACATTATTAGTTTGTTATATTTTGTAGAGCTCAAGTTCACGGTTATGGTGCGTTCAGAAACAAATATAATTCAGTTACATAAAATCCTTTTTTCTGTGCCGTGCTTTATTGTTTATAAATAAATAGTTTATTCTAATCTGAGTTATATTTTTCGTATTCGTCGGCCAATTCTACCAGGAATATAAAGATAATATCGAAATAAAAATATAACTAAATTTTTGTACATTTTAGTGTTCTGGATTTTGTGTTCCGAACGCAACCCAATTCATGTAGAATTGAAGGAAGATTTGTATATATATTGTATAGTTCCTGGATGACCGAACATTGCTCGGTTTTTTTTTTGGAAATCGTGTGTTTTGGGGAGTTATATTTAGATAAAAATTACATACTGATAAAATATGAAGAATATGATCTTACCGACATAGAAAAAACTGAACTGGTTATTAGAATGAAAAATCATAAGTGCAACAAAAATTTTCGTATTTTAAAAAAAATACTAAAAAAAGGGCTCGAAATAATAGATTTTCTCACAATAGTAGGGAACTTGAAAAAAAAAAGGGAAAAAAGTCGAACCTAATACAAGATGCGTACCACCAGGGCACTACGATTTCGCGACAGTGCGTTATCAACTTGAGCTATTACGATCACTAATATAGTGTCAACATTTACCTTCTTATATTGTAGCAGTTTTTCATTGCCTGAAAACATGGACAAAATGACATTTTCTAAAAATGAATCCTAGCTAGATCGATTTATTGCCCCCAAAAACCCCTGGACACTAAATTTTATGAAAATCGTTCGGAGCCGTTTCCGAGATTCGGATTATATATATACAAGAATTGCTCGTAGGTATAGGATTTATATTTTTGTTTTACTAAAAGCTTTCGTTTAGTGTTTCGAAATTAGGAAATATTATTTTCAAACTTCCTGGTTATTATCACAAAATAAATCGTGTTATATATTTGTTGTTATTTTGTGTGTGAAATGTCTAATTATTTTAATAATTGGTACTGTTACAAATCATCAGTGTTATTAGTTTTGAGAGAATAGGCATGTATCAGTATAATTATTTTGCTTTAAATAGGTACTTCTGTTTTGATAAAAAATTCAATAGTGTAATGTAATAAAATAAAACTACGTTATATTGTAATCAATGTTGACATAATTTATTTCCCAAAGTTATAAATCAATTAAATAGTTTACGCCAACAAATATAACTTTTATTTTCAAAACAATCGTACATAGCGTTTTGTAGTTCTGCCTACCCAATCTACACATACAGAAAAATTAACTGTACAAAAAACCAGTAGTCAAGAGGACTTTAAATTTGTGTGTCACATTAATGCTTTAATTAAATCATGTAAACCCTTTTTTCATTTTAGACTTGAATTCTACAGAAGAAGAAAAGTTAAGCCGGGAAAAAAGGCGTATCGCGGAAGCGGGCCGTGCATCTGCGAACGCAGCAGCTCTACTGTGTGATTTATTGCTGGGGGCCTGTGATCCCCCCGGGTACTCTGTACTGGTCAAGTGGGTATCAAAAACTATCTTTATTAATTTGTACTGTGTTGTGGAGGTGCATTACAAACATTAATTGTGCATAGAGTACAACATGCAGACTGGGAGCACCTATTTGTAGCTCATACAAATATTTGTATTATGTGGGAAACGAATCCGCGATCCACAGCGTGTAGTAGTGGTTTGTATATTTCGTTGAACAAATTACTGTGAAATTTGTTATAGGTACATTTTAACTATTAGGCTTTTTTTTAATTCTTTTTAATTTAGGGACACGTTATTTTTAACATGTCAGTCCCATTGTACCTTGTAACTAAATAACACAATACCATTTATTAAATTACTTATAAGCTATTAGGTTTTGAAGGAATAAAAAGTTTTTGTAAGGCAACCTGTATTTCTAATAAATATAAGCACATCAACAGAATCTAGGGATATTTTATATTTCATTAAATATCTGAAAATCCATGAATAATTTTCTGATATAGTAAATAGAAGAATGGATAGATTATCTTAAGGTATTTAATTTAAAAAAAAAACATTTCATAATTTTTTTGTTTTAAATAAAAATGTCAATTTTTGTTAATAGTCGTAGAAGAGTAGTATTCTTACAAGTTTGGGATTCGTGACAGTAAAATTACCGAACACCAATTACAACTTAAAACACACAAATAATAAAACACAATTCGTAGTTATATCGCTTCGAAGTATTCGCTTGAATCGTCAATTCAATACTGACTCGGTCGCGGTCCTTACTGGCCTTTTCCATTGAAACATGTAGAATGTTACACATACCGGTCCCGACCGACTAGGTGTAGAAAGTTCTAGTAGGTAATTTTATAGAAAGCTCTCCTAGTTCTGCTATTCTGTGGTATTAATTATGATGCGCAACAGTATGATAAAAAAACTTCATTTCTTCTCACAAAACTATTAATTTTAATAAAAATTGAAAAAAAAAACCTTATAAAATCTATTAACAATCAGTGTTGCCACCTCTTACATTAATTCGTAATGATTGTTCGTGCTTAAAATTAAATTGTCAAAGTTTTGCTGCGTCTTGAGGTCCCATGTTCGTTGCAAGTGTTCGTAAAGTTGTTTTTCCGACGTCAAATTTGGCGGGAAATCTCTCAAAGCTTTTCGTTATAACATGTCTAGGCATTCTCGATAGAATTTAAGTCGGGCAACTGTGCAGGTCAATGCAAAACTTGAATATTTTGGTCTAGGAGACTGGTCGATAACAGCCGTGCCATATGAGGTAGAGCATTATCGTGCATGAGTAGAAATTCCTGGCCCATTTGAATTCTGTGTGGGACAATAACCGGCTCTACTACCTCCAGGTGGTATTTTTGTGCGGTCATGCTGCCTTGGATCCAAACGAGCTAGGTTCGTCCGATAAAACGACTTCCTGCCCACACCATGATTGTCCCGCCTTGGTATGAGTGGACCTCTTGAGGGTGCCGTAGATAGCTAACTCTTCCTGGATTCTCCAAACGCATGTTCTTCGTGAATCCGGTTGAAACCCAAACCGGGACTCACCGGTGAACAGCACTAAAGACCATTGTTCGTCAATCCATGGTAAATGCTGCTGGGCCAATGACAGCCGCTTAGTACGACTGCTACGTCGTAATGTTGGAACACGTAGTGGTAGAGCATGAAGACCAACTTTATGCAACCTCCTTCGTACGGTTTGATCGCCTACTAGCTAGCAGCTGGTGGTCTTCCTGAAGCTTCTGTAGTAGTTGCATCGCTGTGATAGTGGGTTGTCTTTTGACGGTCATTTGCTGAATTCGATCCTGTCTGCGTAGTAACACAATACATACCCGTGTACCGCTTAGCCACATCCCCAGTACTGCGATAACGTGTTCAGCGCCGTAGTCTACATACTACTACTCTTTACTCTATCTTGATGTCTTCTAATCCTCCATCTTATTTAACTCCTCATTTTTAATACCTTAGCTCCAACCATGATTAAGTTCTCCCCCTTTTAGTACTAACTTTGTCCAATCATCGTTCTTTGTTCAATCTGTTCATTTTTGGAATGCTCTTCCGTCGGAAATCAAGAGTGCGAGAACTTCTCGTCAATAAAATGGCAGAATCAACTTAGCGCTCTTAGTTAGCCGTGTTTAATAATATACAATATGTAACGTAATTAACGCACACCCTCAGACACCCCAATTAGTATCTTATGTTATATCATAATACATACACTGAATTTTTAGTTAAACATTTTTATGCACTCATTATTTATCAAATTAGTTATACTAATTCCGGAAGAATGTTGTGGTCACAGTACAAATCCACGAACGCAAAGACTTTAACGTGCTTGAAATAAAGTTCGTTTTTCTTTATTTTCATTGAATGACAGAAGTAGTAATAATACAAATAAAACTGCACTCTTAAAAGTCTTATTGCCTTAAGTTACGGTCAATTTCAGTTTGTTTTGACTGTACAGATTTAGTGTGACTGTAATTTACGTAGTTTTAATTATTTTTGGGATAAAAAATTACCTATATTAAAAATGATAGGAATCGATTCAGTAAACGATTCTGAACAAACTACTTTCTCAAAGTGCGTTAATTATGTTACGTGTTGTATATACGTATTTTTATGTATATATGTGTATATTACGCTTATATATGTATGAGATTATATATATGTGAATAGTAATTTCTGTACATACTTCTTATTACACCTACCTCTTTTGTCTCTGCGCTACTCTATGGTAGACTAGTAGATAATGCCTCAGGCATTAAGTCCGCCTATATACATCTAAAGTGTATATGAAGTTAAATAAATAAATAACGTGACCACAACCTTGATATAACGTTTTACCTGGTGTAGGGCAACGTCGTGTAAATTAGCACCATTTTCTAACATGCTCACGGCTCGTAACATTTTAATTTGACTTAAATGACGACGTGAGATGATTCAATAAGCTCACACGGCAAGTTAAATAAAAAAAAATGTATCTAATCTCTGTTCGTTAATTAATATCAGTAGAACAATTTTAACTAATATAATTTAATAAATTTAAAATTATATTAAATTTTTAATATAATAATTTTGCTCCCGTATTTTGTTTTTATTATTAACATTTTTAGATTTTGAAAATAGAATAAAATAGGTTTCAATCTGCAAACTTTTTGTGAAAACTAAATATATTTTAAAGTATAAAATCGTAAATAATTTAGGATTAAGGTATCTCAAGATCCTGTTGATGTGTTTATTTCAAGTATTGGTGCATCATATCTTTTTTTTTAAATAAATATAATAGTGCAGTCCATCTAATGGTAAGTGGCTACTATGACCCTTAGACGTCTATGCTTATCCTCAATTATGAATCAAAACACAGATGCGTTGTCACCCCTGAGGGCTAAGATATAATGCCTCGTTTCCAGTAAAAAAGGGGTCTTGCGTTTTGTACACTGACCTTAAGTAATATAGCAATGTTAAGCTGGTATTCTGTGAGTGAGTCCTACCGGGGTGTAGCCGAGCCATTTGTTGCACGTGTAGAGACGAAAGTGAGCATGTGGTGGCACGGCGCAGGGCGGCGACTGCGTGGCGGCTGGTGGCACGTCTGCGCGGCGCGGCGTGCGTGCGCTTGCTGCTGCAGGGCATGTTCACGTCGCCGCCGGCCGCGCGTCGCCACGCCGTGGTCAACGGCTGCCAGCTGCTGTTGGCGCTGCTGCCGCACGACTCCGCGCCCGCGCCCGATCCGTAAGTACCGCCCACACTCCTATACACTTATCTCGTAATCCTCACTAACGCAAAAAAAATCCATTCCTTTCCGCTGAATACGCGGTATCTCCAATCATTAGGACATTGTAGCTCGAACAAATTATTATTTCCCTGCATGATATACAACACATTTGTACTCTATCCCCTAGGCCACACACATCGCAATAGATTTATAGCGATAAAACTTCACCTTTAGACTACGGCTAAGGTGCCAGGCCACACTGCGCGTTGTAAAGTTTATCGCAATAAGCACACGCCAAAACACAAAGTACCCGCCGCAGTCACTCTATAATATATGGCAATGAATAATTATTTTTTACTAGATTTTTGACAACAGGGGACAACTTTAAACGCCTATATTATTTATTCAACATATCTCATAAAATTATCCATCTCATTACTTCAAAAAATTATCATAATCGAAAATATGCCCGTTGTAAAGTTTATCGCGATAAACACACGCTAAACACAAAATAGTTGCCGCGGTCGCTCTATATTATATGGCAATGAATAATTATTTTTTACTAGATTTTTGACAACAGGGGACAACTTTAAACGCCTATATTATTTATTCAACATATCTCATAAAATTATCCATCTTATCATTTCTTCAAATAATTGTCATAATCGAAAATACGTCGCAAATACCAGTTTACTTAACACGTCCACTACGCACGATGTCGGTGAGCAAACTGAAGTGGGGCCGAACACAATTTCGCAATAGAACGCTTTGATGTTTGAGCGTTTACCGATACGTAAACGCGCACACGTAAACGTGCTTGCGCCTTCGCACGAAAGTGTAGCAACATACTTTGCAATAACGCGAATATTCGCGTTATCGCGATGTGGGGGGCCGCGGCATATGAATCGAATTTGAAAAAGCAGAGTCCGCAAGTCGAAGTTAGTAAAATATAATGACGTCTTACATGGAATTACTTAAACTCATAGCAATAAAATTCAATAGGAGTGTTTATCGCTTTTGTTCTATTGTGTGTACTTTGTACACGTGCAATGAGTAGATAGATCCATTAAACTTTATAAGGAACAACCCAGTGTACCTTATATTTGTTTATATTTAGAAAAAAATGAAATTTTTGATAAGTCGACTCATTAACTCGAAATTGTAAGCATTTTCCTTGAGATTCGACTTATCGAGATTTCATTGTATCAATACAAATAAAATTGAAGTGTTTAATATCAATATGTCAGCTTTTGCTATGTAGTTTATAGAAAGTATATATAACAAAAAAATTTTACATTTTTTTCTATCTGTATCTGATCCGGCTAATGTCGGAAATAGCTGGACAGATTTTGACGGGAATTTTACTGGGCAGATGACTGATTTTTTAAGGAATGACTTATAACAAATACTCAAATTGAGACCAGTTTTAAAATATTCCTAGGTCTCGTGGTGTCACGGTCACTTTGCCTTAAATTGATACAGGCAGAAAGAGACTTTACAGTATCTTAAAATTGAACAGCGAGAGTATTTGGACATTAAGTTTTTATTTTATTTTAGTAAAAGGATTAGGGTTTTGCACAAAAATTTCAAACACATGAAATTTAATGCAGACGCGGTCGCGGGTAGCAGGTAGTTTAAAAAAAATCATGTGGTACACACACGTTAGAAGTGAAACCTTCAGAAAACTGAACTTTGAAAGAATGAGACGAATACAAATTATCCGGAGGATATAAACCCTAGAAATATAGAATAGTTGTAGGGTTGTTTTATTCTATAACTGTAGGGTGTATTTATTAAAATTTTCTTACCAAATTTAAAAATCATTTTACATATATTACGTTACATATTATACATACCCCAAGTATTCAATTTCATCATTCTAAGTACTTAGATATTTGTTAATCAACAATTTCGTCTTTAATCATTACTGCTCAACACTGTATACATAGACTATATATGTATACTATCTCATTCTCTCGCAGGCTAATTAATAATCCTATAGTTGTATACGTTTATCTCTTTTAAGTGTCGCTTTTTTGTTTTCATCGAGTTTCCGATCACAGCGATAGTGAAATAGTTTTCACTTCAAAATCTAAGAAAAATAAAAATAAAAAACTCACTGTTGTCTCAACCCAAGGTAGAAACAAAGATGGGTTGCTGTGTACATTTCAAGTGTATTCATCATCGTAAATAATATCTAGTACCTGGATCACCGAGTTTTGTTCGGTATCTTTTTTGGAAATTGTGTTTTTTGGAAATTATATTTATCTAAATACATTCTGATGATGAAATATGAATAAGATTTTTCGATCTTCTCGGTCATTATTTTTCGTGTTTTAAAAAAAATATACAAAAAAGGGCTTCAAATAATATATTTTCTCACAGAAGAAGGAACTTAAAAAATGTGAGATCGGAGATATCTGGACTCGAACCGGTGTTCTATGACCTCAGGACCGCCCGATATCCTATTAGAGCTGTTATAAACTTGTAGCAACCGGCAAAATTTACTTTCGTATTCTAATGATATTGTAGCAGTTTTTCATTGCTAAAAATATAGATAAAACGACATTTTCTAAAAATGAGTCCTAGATAGATCGATTTATTGCCCCCGAAACCCCATATATACTAAATGTCATGAAAATCGTTGGAGCCGTTTCCGAGATTCCGATTATATATATACATAGATATTGCTCGTTTAAAGTTATATAGATTTCAATTTATATGCGCATGTATATAAGCACTGCTGTGAAGAGAGTATATTATAAATATACATAAGTAATTATTTATTTTTTGTGGAAGAGGAGGCAAACGAATATACAGCTCACCTGATGGTAAGTGATCACCGTAGCCCATGAGCATCTGCAACAACAAAGAAATTGCAGGTGCGACAGCCTTTTATGAAAGATTAGGCTCTGTAATGTTGGAGGGGCTAATGAGAGGCGTATTGTTCCTTCTATGACTTTAATTGGACTACTTCTCTTTTTCTAAACTTTACACTAACATATTAGTGTTAAGTTTAGAATAATATTGTCGTGGGACCACACTACACTACAGTTCTTTTATTATGCCGCGGCCACACACTGCGCGATAATGCGAATATTCTTGATGTATGTGGCGACATATTCGTGAATACACGAAGTATTCACTTAGTGCAAAGTGGCAAGCACATCGCTTCGCTGTAAGTAAACTCTAGCACATCAAAGCGTCTTATCGCGATGAACTTCATTTGTGCGGTCACACTTCAGGTGGTCCAAAGACATTGTGAGTAGCGGACGTGTAGAATTAAGTTAGGATTTACAATGTATTTTCGGCAGTGACAATTTTTGAAGTAATGAGAAGATAAATAATTTGATGAGGCATTTTGAATAAATAATGCAGGCGTCTAAAGCTGTCCCCTGTTGCCAAAAACGTATTAAAAATAATTATTCGATTCCATATAATTACAGCCATTTTGTATTTAGCGTGTGTTTATCGCGATAAACTATCGATAAACTATCGATAAACTTTACAACGCGCGGTGTGACCTTCGCCCTAGAAGTGGAATTCTATCGCGATGAGAGGGGCCTAGGCATTACAGGTGCTTTATGCTTAACTTATTGTAAGAACACGCCATCATAAACATCTATAATAGTTTGCAACCAACGACATGGTTTAAGGTACGCCATAAAATTCGTAAAATAATCATATTGAATATTTTAATTTGTTTAACTTAAAAACAAACTTCTTTTTAGTTTTGTGCTGTAGTTGCTGCTAGCTTGAATTATGACTTGGTCTAGCCACATATGTTTGAATCATTCTCTGAATATGAATCTAAGCTTGTATGTTTCCTCAAAATGATTGTTAACAAAAGCCAAACTTTTACTTACGTCCATTTGTTATTTGGTGTCTAACAGTCTTTCAAGTTAACAGAATTAAATAATATAAGAATGATAGAAGAATATCGGATAACTTTCAGGCAAATATTAAAATGTTCTGGAAACTTGTAAGAACTGCCAGGGGACATTAAAAACAGCCTATGATGAATGCTATAAGAGACGAGAATGGCTATATTCTGAATGATGAAGTTTTGAGTTTAAAGAGATGGAAGGAATATTTTGAAAGCGTGTTTATGAGTGAGGAGACAACGTGTGTACTAAGTGAAGTAGAAATTCCGAAAGAAGAGGAAAGAGGTAGCGAGATAAGTATAGATGAAATAATGAAAGCAATGAAAAGCATGAAAGCAGGTAAGGCTGCCGGATATGATAGAGTTTCACTCGAAATGCTAAGGGCTGGAGAGGAAGTGATGGCAGGCCTGCTGCACACCTTGTTTAATTTATGCTGGGAACTGAAGCGGGTACCGGTAGACTGGTGCAAAGCCGTGATAGTCCCAGTATATAAAGGAAAAGGGTCGCAGCGGGACTGTAAAAACTACCGTGACATCAGCCTTCTTAGCATTGTGTGAAAAGTGTATGCTAAGGTACTGATTGAAAGGGTCATGAAAGAAACTGATGGAAAAATTTGGGATGTGCAAGCGGGATTTAGAAAGGGAATGGGATGTACAGATCAAGTCTTTTCCATGCGCATGATCGCGGAGAAGTTTTTGGCCAAAAACCAAAAGGTTTTTTGTGCGTTCATGGATTGTGCGTTCGTGAATAGGGATGTGCTATGGCAAACACTGAAGTCATTTGGGTTGGGCGCTGGCTTGATACAGGCATTGGAGTCCCTTTATAGGGACTCTAGTGCTTGTGTTAGGATCAACGGGGTCTACTCGGACTGGTTTGACATCCATAAAGGTGTCAGACAGGGCTGTGTGGCTTCCCCGTGGCTGTTCAACCTATTTATGGACAGTTGTTTCCAAAATTTGAAAGTTGAAGAATGCGGATTAAGAATGGGTGAGTTAACCGTCAAATGCCTTTTGTACGCCGATGATCAAGTTATCCTTGCGTCGTCGGCGGCCGAGTTGCAAATGATGGTTACATTAATGAACAGATCATTAAAAGAAAGGGGTATGAAAGTGAACACAAGTAAGACGAAGGTTATGGTTTTTGAAAGAGAAGAAAGTAAAACGATTTGTGAAATAAGAATAGAAGGGGAGTTGATCGAGCAAGTAGATGAGTTTGTATATTTGGGCTGCGTATTTAGCAGGGATGGGAGATATGATAAGGATATAGAACGACGAGTGAATGCGGGAAATAGAGTAAATGAGGCCCTGCACTCTATTGTGAAGAGTCAAAATGTGTCGAAAAGGGCACGTATGGCAATTCACAATGCTGTGTTGGTCCCTACTTTAACGTATGGTAGTGAAAGTTGGGTGTGGCAGAAGAAGCACGAGAGTAGAATCAACGCAGTAGAAATGCGGTCGTTAAGAAGTATGTTAGGGCTGAATCTGAACGACAGGGTAAGAAATTGTGTAATAAGAGAAGAGTGTGGTTTGCAAGATGATGTTGTGACCAGGATTAAGAAAGGAATGCTTCGGTGGTTTGGTCATGTGGAAAGAATGGATGAGGAAAGACTGACAAAGAAAATTTATGTTGCAGAAGTGAATGGCAGAGTCGGAAAGGGACGTCCTAGGCGAAAATTTATCGACCAAATTGGCGATTTATTAAAAACGGGCCAAATTAGGAGTACCCTTAACCGACGAGCATGTATGCGTAGGTGTATGGATGTGAAGGAGGCGAGAGAGGTGTGTCAGGATCGTGCCAAATGGAAGTCTGTAGTCTCTGCCTACCCCTCTGGGTGACAGGCGTGAGTGTTTATGTATGTTATGTTAGAATTAAATACACGCAAGTACTGGGTATTCTGCATCCAATCACCAGAATGTCATTTGGGTTTTCGCTATCGCCTGAGCCTCGTCCGTCAGTCAGCGTATCGTAGTGTAGGGTGGCCTGTACTCTACAGTGCGTATAGAGGTTGGCGGTTGAAGAAGGTGCAAAACAGGATTATTTGTTTTGCGCAGATGGTTATTCTCCGTGACCGAATTTCGGTTTGGATGACATTATTACGATGAATATTTCTCTCAATCTCATATATGTGTGCGAATGTAGTGGAAATGACGGTGGAGGCGAAAGTTCAGAGGAGAGTGCGAGCGTGCAACGAGCCGTGGCACCGCACCTGCCACTGCTACACCAGGCGCTGCTGCGCCCGCCCACGCCTCCGCCATCAGAGGCACCGGTGGCACCCGAGGCACCACCGGTGTCCGAGATACTGGCGACTACTGCGGCACCGGTGACACCCGTGGCAACGGAGACACCCGTGGCAACGGAGACACCCGTAGCATCAGTGACACCCATAGCACCGGAGGCATCTGCGGCACCACCGCCGGTAACGTCTCTCTCTGCTGTAAGTTGTTATTACCTCATTTCATTCTGCACCACAAAGACTCACGTGGTAGAGCCATGCTGCAGAGCATGAATGGGTCGGCTCGATCGACGTAAAATAGCAGCTTAATGCTGCTGTGTTTCGTGTGATGAGTGTAAACGACTGGAGACTCTTTATTGGAAACGACGCATTCCATCTTAGTCTTCAGGGGTGACAATGCATCTGCATTTTGCTTCTTATAGAGGGTAGATGTATGGGTGGGGTTCAGTTCAGTTTTTGAATATTATTTTTTGGTCCGTTTTTCAAAAACTGAAGGTAGCCGGACTAACTATGACATTGGGACGTCAAACATCTCCTCAGTCACCCCCGTGACATGGGTGCTGTAAAGCACCCGAAACGTCGGGAATTAAAAATAAGTAAAAGTAGCGAAATAAACGCGATAAAATCCGTAAATTTAGTTTTATTCAGTGTGTAGTGTTCGCGTAAATTTAAGAAATCATTAAACGATTGTTACGTCAAAACACATCTCGTGTTGACGTTTATACGTGTGAATTGACATGTTAGTGACATTTTAGTGGCTACACGGGCTCCGCCCACTCCCTCGTTCTCTTATGTATGTATTGTAGTATTGTATGGTCTGAAATATCGAAATAACAGCCTTATATTCTGCTAAGCAGGTTATTTGCGTGTCACTAAGACATGAATTATGAATACATTTGTCTGCTGTGTGTCCGGTTGTAACGGAAATTCACGAACAGATAAAGAGCAATGGCAGGATTGATCTGGGATATTTTATTATATAAAAATTGATAAAATGAATTGTTTTACATTATGTTGTGTCTAAATAATGCACGCCACATCAGTAAATCCTACCCCTACGCTGCCAGGGCGGGTTGTTACTACTAGTATTTAAATATATCTGATTAATACTAAGCAATAGAAGCACAAACATATGGAACAAGTTGTCGCAAGATGTGGTGATACTCATTTTGTGATTTTTGAGACAGAAATTTTTATTCAATATAAATTATAAATAATACTTATTGAAAGTCACTTTTTTAATTTACCACTGGTTTGGAAAAAATCCTCTGTCCCGCAAGTTAATCAGCAAAAAACCCAGCGGCACTTATTTTTAAAAATAACAGCTTACAATCAACAACACAACAAATTAGAAATAGCTTGGTAGTGATCACCCTTCCCAGGGGTTAATATTATCCATCAATTCCTTAATATTATAATAACCCTTTTTATACAAACCTAGTGATATAAATTTTTTGAACTTTGTGCAGGTCAAATTTTTATATTTTCTGGTATTTTGTTGTTAAAGTCCTATCCTACAAAACACAATTTTCTAAATTTAATATTGATGGAGAAATGAATATGAATATTGTTGCTATTTAAGAACAATTCAATTTCTAGCTCTTTTCCTATCATACCTTGTATATTTTGATGCACCAGGTGTAAACAATTTTATTATCATTTTGTAAGCTATATTCTAAATTATTTAAATTATTATAACTGCTACAGATTACCTCTATTGTCTCATTTCTAATTTAAATTACGGGGAACTGATTCCAAATTGCATGTCAAATCATTATGCTGCTCAATAGTAGCAGTAGCCAAGTCCTTAGCTGAGTTCATATATAAATAATAAGATAGCACATGGCATATAACCATCTGTCTTAAATTATATTTGGATAGGTAATACTTATCTAAAATACGAGTATATTAAAATGATATTACGTTGCTTCTTCCCCCAATAAAAATTATTAATGTGTTATTATGACAAAAACTTTATTCATTATATGACTAAAGGATGCTCCAGGTATACTATAATTATTGAAATAATACTAGTTTTTACGGAATTTATCGCGTATATTTTAACTTTTTAAATACCCGACGTTTCGAACGCTTTACAGCACTCATGGTCACAGGCAGGACTGAGATGTTCAACGTCCATATGTCATAGTTAACCGCGGTTACCATAGATTAAAATTTAACTTTTGTTCCGATCTATGCAGTATGAACTTATGGTATCTTGAAGTCTTGCAGTTGTATGCTTGGGTTGGGATTTAATTTTATTTATTATAGGATCCCAAGCAGATGGTAGCACCCAGCCATCTTCTCTATTGAAATTAGGATGTTTTTTGATTTCAATAGCCTCGCGAATCATCCTTGGAAGGAATCGGTGTTCCTTAGCGAGGATCTGCGGTCTATCAAATCTGATGTAGTGACGGGGGCGATCCTGTACGTGTTCACAGACTGCAGACTTCCCGGAGCGTCGATTCTTCACATCAGCTATATGTTCTTTAACGCGGGTTTTTATTGATCTTTTAGTTTGTCCTATGTAGGAGAGACCACATTCACAATCAAGCTTGTACACTCCTGCATCTTGCAGAGGGACATTACACTTGACCGATGGTAAAAACTGACCAATCTTCTTCAGCGGCTTGAAGTATGTTTTGATGGAAGTGCGCTTCAAGATGTAGCCAATCTTGTCAGTGACTCCTCTAACATATGGCAGTACAGCAGGTACACGCTCGACTGTGGCCGGCTTCACTCGTTCTCTGTGACGTAGGCGCGGGACTCGAAGCTTGTTGTCATGCAAAACTTGCTTGACATGGTGGAGCTCTGCCAGGTGTTTACTGTCACAGATCCCTCGTGCTCTCTGAAACAAAGATTTACCCACGGTAGCTAACTGTGAAGGATGGTGGTGAGAATCACCGTTTAAATATCTATCTGTATGGGTCTTTTTTCTATACACAGTATGGCTCAAGGTGTTATCAGGATTCCGATTTACTAACACATCTAGAAAAGCTAAGGAATTGTTTGCCTCTAACTCCATTGTGAACTGAATTTTAGAATTTATAGAGTTAAGATGGTCTAAAAATGCAGTTACTTTATCTAAAGGTAGAATTGTGAAAGTGTCGTCTACGTACCGCTTGTTGAACCTTGGATTTATGGGAGAGCTAAGCAGGGCTTTCTCCTCAAAGTCTTCCATAAATATGTCGGCGACAATGGGAGATACAGGTGAGCCCATCGCCACACCATCTACTTGCTTGTAGAACTCCTCCTTCCACAATAGGTAGCCAGATGTAAGGCAGTGTCTGAGTAATACTGCATATTCTACGGGCATGTTGTTTTCTTCCAGTCTTCTAGTTACAATTGAGATGCAGTCTTCAACAGGTAAGCATGTAAACAATGACTGCACATCAAAACTGACCATAGTTTCATTGTCTGCCAGATGTAGGTCTTTAATCTCGCTGACAAAATGGTAGGAATCCTTTATGTGTGCTCTTGTATGTCCCCTGAGTGGTGAGAGTATTTTCGCTAAGTGTTGAGCCAATCTGTAAGTTGGTGAATCGATTTGGCTCACTATGGGACGTAATGGAGCATTGGGCTTGTGTATTTTTGGTAACCCATACAATTTTGGTGATTTGGCGCACGTAGGTATTATCCATTTTACGTCCAGATTTAATTTTTTCGGAGTGTTTCTTTATGAGGTCACTAGTTGTTTTTAGTGTGCTATTTGTTGGGTCGTTTTTAACCTTTTTTATAAGTACTTACATCCGACAAAAGTTCTTGTATTTTAGAATTATAATCTGACGTATCCATGACTACCGTGGCGTTTCCCTTATCTGCGTGGAGAATCGTAAGTTCGTGTTTATTGTGTAGGTTCTTTAACGCTAAAAATTCGTCTTTGGGAAGATTCGGTTTAGTCACTGAACATTGACGTAACATAGACGAGATGTCTTGATGTATCGCCTCCAAATCTTCTTTCCGCATATTGTTTTTAAATAAACAGTCCTCGACACTACAGATAATTTCTTCGTACGGTAATTTGCGGGGTGTAATTGCAAAGTTGAGGCCTTTGGATAAAACCCTAATTGTTGCATCATCCAGTGTTTGTTTTGACAGATTATAGAGCGCGATTAATCTATGATCTGTGTTTGTCAATGGTTGCTTTCGGTTCTGGCATTGATTCAGATGTTTGACATTTGACTTGTTCGTTAATTTTTGATATTTTTCTATATGTTTGTTTTTGCATCCATTATATTTACTAATTTCGCGTTTATTTAATGTTTCCATGCAAAAATTATAGTCAAACGTCGTTAAAACTTTCTTCAATTCACTGGATGATGTGTCTATGGATTTGTTTATGTCATATAGATCGGAGCGTTTTTGTTGGATTACCGTCCGTAACAACTTTTTACTCGCCTGATTTAAGATCTTAGCGCTTCCTCGAATGTCCTTTTTGGTTGATATTTTAACACACGTAGGAATGAGATTATGGTCACGGCATCTCTTCAAGAAATTTAAGGCTGTTAGATATCTTGCGCGCTTGGTCTTTAGATCCTCTAATCGGCGTATTTTATTTGCAATTACCAGTCCGTACTGGTTTACATAATGATTTCTTATATTTACGCGAACGTAGTGTTCGTAGTACATTGAAATAATACTAGTTTTTACGGAATTTATCGAGTATATTTTAACTTTTTAAATAACCGACGTTTCAAACGCTTTACAGCACTCATGATCACGGGCAGGACTGAGATGTTCAACGTCCATATGTCATAGTTAACCGCGGTTACCATAGATTAAAATTTAACTTTTGTTCCGATCTATGCAGTATGAACTTATGGTATCTTGAAGTCTTGCAGTTGTATGTTTGGGTTGGGATTTAATTTTATTTATTATAGGATCCCAAGCAGATGGTAGCACCCAGCCATCTTCTCTATTGAAATTAGGATGTTTTTTGATTTCAATAGCCTCGCGAATCTTCCTTGGAAGGAATCGGTGTTCTTTAGCGAGGATTTGCGGTCTATCAAATCTGATGTAGTGACGGGGGCGATCCTGTACGTGTTCACAGACTGCAGACTTCCCGGAGCGTCGATTCTTCACATCAGCTATATGTTCTTTAACGCGGGTTTTTATTGATCTTTTAGTTTGTCCTATAATTATTATTAACCAGCTGTCTTTTTAAATGGTTATTTAACATTATGCCCAAATTTTTCCCTATGTTATCACAATTCATAATAACTATGTTTTTTTTTAAATATTTAAATTATTTTTTAAGTTTAAATTCCTTGTCATGGAACTGTTGTAGAGTGCAGGTGAAAATAAGGAGTCATTACTATTTACATTATTACTTACATATATTGTCCTTGATGAACATGATATGAAGCCCTGATACTCACTGTGATGTTTTATTAAGCAGTCAATGCGCTAGTCATTATATTTACATGACTTTACCAGGTCAATATGTGTTAATTAATTTTAGATTAGTTTTAGAAATGGACTGGATAAATGACGCAAAGACAATCCAATTGGTGTAGACTAGATACAGGCATAGCAGTTGTTACAGCCCAGTCCACTGCTGAACATGTATCTCTCTCAAAGATTAGGGGGAATTTTTGTCATAGTTGCCATGTTAGGCAAGCAGGTTGGCAACCGTATTTTTTATTTTAAGTTGTTATTAGGAAGACTGCTGCCCATCTGCTGATTGGTTTCCCTCTGCCTCTGTCTCACGACACCCACGAGATGATCTGGGCTGGTGGATATTCTTACACCGCCACTACACGTTGTTAGCTACAAGCTGCTGGCCTATTACTACATAATAATAAATTGACTGTTGTCTAGGACGTCAATATGACAAGCAATGAAGAAGAGTCAAAAGACACAGAGAACAAAGAGAGAAGTGAAGGTATGGAGCAGAAATCGAAGGAGGACAGTGATAGCGAACATCAAAACAAACCAGACGCAGTAGAAAACAGCATCGAGCACAGAGACAGATACAGAGACGCACGAGAGTGCGCAGAGAGGGCTCCGCCAGCGCCGTGCGCTACTCGCAGCGTGGGCTGCGCGCGCGTGCACGTGGCCGCGCTGCTCGCGCAGCTCGCCTTCTCCGAGCTCGAGGACGTGCATAACGCGTTGCTCACCTTGGGTAAGCTATTCTGTGTGGACAACACACGTGGCCACCGCACACGCGGTACAAGTGAACACCTTCATAAACAGACAATAGTAAATATTTCATTATCTCACAGGCTAAACCTATATGTATATATTTGTCACTTTGTCGTTTCATCGAGTGGCAAGTCACAACAATCGTAAAGAAGTTTTCACTTTAAAACATACACAGACTCTGTTACAACAACTGTAACTCTATTACTGTAGCGTTATACTGAGTAGGTGGCCTTGTTGTTCCTGCAACCCATTTTTTAAATATTTACTTTCATCAATAAATAAATATATTCTTTCTTTCTTTCAAACAAAAAGAAATAATAAATATAGAAAAAAAAGCATCTCTTGCAAATTAAATATCTTCGTTTACATTACGTTTACATAAACAATTAAAGTTAAAGGTTATAATTAATTTAATACATAAAATATAGCCATTTAAACGCTTATGTATGTCAATAATAGAATACAAAATATTGAGCACAAATAATAAACTCCGGTTACCAACAGCCAAGTGCTAAGCGTGACAACTATGGCAACATACCTCCTAAAAAGCAGTCTATGGGAAAGGCCTATGTTTAGCCGTGAACTTTAGTAGGCTGTAATGGATGAATGGTTTTAAGAAGCCAAATCGATAACGCATTGGTATATTAATTGATTGGTACTCGAGCTGTCAAAAGTAAAATGAATGGTTGGACCCCAGAGTAACAGAATACTAGAGAGAGGACAAACTAAAGAGAGGAGACTAAACGCGGCAGTTTCTCCTCGAATACGGCCTAAATGGAGACAAATAATGTTGAATTCGCTAATTTAATTAAGTTACAATAAATAACTTTATTTCAAATTTTAAGGGAGAAATAAAATGACTGTTATAAGTTTGTTTTTCCCGCCATTATTCCGCCGTTGCCGTTATGTGCGTGCGTATCGATATGATTCTCGTCTCGCCTCTTGCGTGAACGTTTTGCGTGTGGCAAACAATAGGAGCCTAGTGACACAAATGTGCGTGCGTGTGTGTGTGTGTGTGTGTGTGTGTGTGTGTGTGTGTGTGTGTGTGTGTGTGTGTGTGTGTGTGTGTGTGCGTGTGTGTGTGTGTGTGCGCGTGTGCGTGCGTGTGCGTGTGCATGTGCGTGTGTGTGAGATTATTGCGTTAATATACTGCTGCATTGAGTGCATTAGTTGAGCTTGCGACACTGCCTCGATACAAACTAGGTGAATTGTCCGACATCTGTGGGTTGGACGAAGTGTAGACACGTTTATATTTACGCGTAATGTACTGTGGAACTGCTACAAATTTCATGGCCACCGATGTTCGCAGGAACACCGGGCGTGCTGATAGATATGTTCTTCGACTACCCACACAACAACTTCCTTCACACGCAAGTCTATATCCTCATACACAATGCGCTCTCCAACAGAATTTACGGTGAAAAATACGCCAAGCATGTGAGTACATTATTCTTTTTTTTTTCTAGTTTTTGACTACTGCTTGCTTTTTTGTTTCAATATCCGACCAGTAGTTTTTGAGTTATCCTTAATAATGCGTATGTAATTGACTTTGAACACATTGACGATGTTCTTATTTTATTTATATTGAAGTCTGTATATATGTAGGAAAGGTGTCAATCAAAGTAGACGTGTTGCTCAGTTTAAGACTTTAATTATACTACTACTATTCTACACTTAATACTAATCACTATATATTGTCGTGAGAGCTACACGTCACTGCAAGTCGGTTTTACAAAATTTTTAATTTTCCCACTTGTGTTAAAGTAACATTTTGTATTTTTCAGTTAATAGATGAATGCAATCTTTTAACAAGGTTAATGGATACTTTTGAAGCAAATGAGAATTCAAAGTAAGTATTTTTTTAGTAGAAGTGGTAATTCAATTTTTATTTTATTTATTTATGTATTTATTTTTAAGTTTTAATTTATAATGACTTAAATTATTTTATGGAATTTACAGTATAACTGTTATTGCATATTTATGTTATTCATTATGTAGTATAAATTTACAGCAGCTGGGAAAAGGTTATTGTGCCTTACGTATATTAGAGATAGGATATTTTATATATTTAATGTGAAAAATTATGTAGATTCGAATAACAATACGTTGCTCAAATGTTTGTTGAATTCAGGATTGGTGCGGGGTCCATACGTCGTGGTAATATGGGGCACGTAGTACTGGCGCTCCGGCGGCTAGAGGGCTGTGCACCCGCAGATCCCGCCACAGCGCAGCGCTGGCTCGCCTTCCGCGAGCAAGCGCTGCGCCCGCTGCTGCTGCGCCACGACACACCGCTCGTGAGTCATGCGCGCACACGAACACGTACACGTATACGTAAAAACACACGTACAGTATCGCACATGCACGCACACGTATACGTACAAATACACGTACACGTCAGTATCGCACACGCACCCGTATACAAACACACGTACAGTATCGCACACGCACCCGTATACAAACACACGTACAGTATCGCACACGCACGCACACGTTGACGTTAAAACACACGTACAGTATCGCACACGCACCCGTATACAAACACACGTACAGTATCGCACACGCACGCACACGTATACGTACAAATCACGTACAGTATCGCACACGCACCCGTATACAAACACACGTACAGTATCGGACACGCACCCGTATACAAACACACGTACAGTATCGCACACGCACCCGTATACAAACACACGTACATTATCGCACACGCACCCGTATAAAAACACACGTACAGCATCGCACACGCACGCACACGTATACGTACAAAGACACGTACAGCATCGCACACGCACGCACACGTTGACGTTAAAACACACGTACAGTATCGCACACGCACCCGTTTACAAACACACGTACAGTATCGCACACGCACCCGTATACAAACACACGTACAGTATCGCACACGCACCCGTATAAAAACACACGTACAGTATAGCACACGCACCCGTATACAAACACACGTACAGTATCGCACACGCACGCACACGTATACGTACAAATACACGTACAGTATCGCACACGCACCCGTATACAAACACACGTACAGTATCGCACACGCATCCGTATACAAACACACGTACAGTATCGCACACGCACCCGTATAAAAACACACGTACAGTATCGCACACGCACCCGTATACAAACACACGTACAGTATCGCACACGCACGCACACGTTTACGTACAAATACACGTACAGTATCTCACACTCACCCGTATACAAACACACGTACAGTATCGCACACGCACGCACACGTTGACGTTAAAACACACGTACAGTATCGCACACGCACCCGTATACAAACACACGTACAGTATCGCACACGCACATGTATACAAATACACGTACAGTATCGCACACGCATCCGTATAAAAACACACGTACAGTATCGCACACGCACGCACACGTATACGTACAAAGACACTTACAGCATCGCACACGCACGCACACGTTGACGTTAAAACACACGTACAGTATCGCACACGCACCCCGTATACAAACACACGTACAGTATCGCACACGCACGCACACGTATACGTACAAAGATACGTACAGCATCGCACACGCACGCACACGTTGACGTTAAAACACACGTACAGTATCGCACACGCACCCGTATACAAACACACGTACAGTATCGCACACGCACCCGTATACAAACACACGTACAGTATCGCACACGCACGCACACGTTGACGTTAAAACACACGTACAGTATCGCACACGCACCCGTATACAAACACACGTACAGTATCGCACACGCACATGTATACAAACACACGTACAGTATCGCACACGCACCCCGTATAAAAACACACGTACAGTATCGCACACGCACGCACACGTTGACGTTAAAACACACGTACAGTATCGCACACGCACCCGTATAAAAACACACGTACAGTATCGCACACGCACGCACACGTATACGTACAAAGACACGTACAGCATCGCACACACACGCACACGTTGACGTTAAAACACACGTACAGTATCGCACACGCACCCGTATACAAACACACGTACAGTATCGCACACGCACCCGTATAAAAACACACTTACAGTATCGCACACGCACGCACACGTTGACGTTAAAACACACGTACAGTATCGCACACGCACGCACATGTATACGTACAAACATACGTACAGTATCGCGCGCGCACGCACATGTATACGTACAAACACACGTACAGTATCGCGCACGCACGCACATGTATACGTACAAACACACGTACAGTATCGCACACGCACCCGTATACAAACACACGTACAGTATCGCACACGCACCCGTATAGAAACACACGTACAGTATCGCACACGCACCCGTATCCAACCACACGGACAGTAGCGCACACGCACGCACCCCTATACTTACAAAGACACGTACAGCATCGCACACGCACGCACACGTTGACGTTAAAACACACGTACAGTATCGCACACGCACGCACACGTATACGTACAAACACACGTACAGTATCGCACACGCACGCACATGTATACGTACAAACACACGTACAGTATCGCACACGCACCCCGTATACAAACACACGTACAGTATCGCACACGCACCCGTATAGAAACACACGTACAGTATCGCACACGCACCCGTATAAAAACACACGTACAGTATCGCACACGCACGCACACGTATACGTACAAAGACACGTACAGCATCGTACACGCACGCACACGTTGACGTTAAAACACACGTACAGTATCACACACGCACGCACACGTATACGTACAAACACACGTACAGTATCGCGCACGCACGCACATGTATACGTACAAACACACGTACAGTATTGCACACGCACGCACAAGCACACGTATACGTACTAACACACTTACAGTATCGCACACGCACGCACACGTATACGTACAAACACACGTACAGTATCGCACACGCACGCACACGTATACGTACAAACACACGTACAGTATCGCGCACGCACGCACATGTATACGTACAAACACACGTACAGTATTGCACACGCACGCACAAGCACACGTATACGTACTAACACACTTACAGTATCGCACAGCGCACAGGCACGCACACATACACGTATATGTACAAACACACGTACAGTATCTCATCGATCGCATACCGATCTCTTTCCATGTCGGATTGCCGTCCTATCAGATAAAAAGAGTAAAAAAGAGAGTGCACTTGTACTGCGCTCACACTCGTGAACTATAACCCTGTCCTGCGCAGATGTCATTGTTATTATTTATTTCATTCATTTGTAACAACCTATCCAAAGCCCACTGCTGATCATATAGGACTCATCCATATACTCACCTTATAGTTAAAATCTTTGTTATAGTTTTCACGATTGGCAGGCAGATTGCCAACAGAGAAGCTGGAGGCCTGATGGGTCCGTAGCGCGTTGGCTTAGCAATGAGCTGCAGCGATGAGAGCTAGAGAGAGAGATATCTTATACCTTTAATGTTCAAATAAAGATAATTTTCCAGTTTTTATACTTTCGTTTTGTTTTCAGGGCGGGTTTTATCCTTCAGATAACATTTACGTGGTAAGAATCCAAGTTTTCTATAATTTTAGTTAGATATCATTATATTAGAGATTAGTTAAAATCCTAAGATAGCTAAGAGATGAGAAGAAAAATAAAATAATTTGTATTCTCTAGTTTGTTTTGCATCTAAACGTAGTGGTGTTGGACTTAGTGGTGACAGTGATAGTGCAGGGATTGTGCAATCGAAAATTCAAATGAAGTAAGACAGCTTTAACAGAATTTTATTTTTCACGCAGATCTTATTTTTTTAATTTTTTCGACATTAGTTTATAGATTTCCGCAAAGTAACACATGATTAAATTATATTGTTACATGGGTGGTGAGTAAAAATGCCGATCAGGATGAGATGTATCTAATCCTCTCATCTATTGATGTATGCTTCCACACACACAACAAGTTTACGTCTGAAATCCCTGAGCTTCTTCAGAGGTCGTTAATAATCGCAGATGTCCTAGGTCGAATGTTCGTAGTCGCTTCCCGGAGTGCAGTTAATTGTCACGTTCCCGATCGCCGACGCATGCTTTTGCAGCATATCCAATAAGAAGATACATCGATCCGGGTCAGCTAACCATCCCGCTCTTTCAATTAGAAAGTACAAGCATACTCGCGATTAACAATATGCCCAAGGGAGAAAAGGCTTTTTTTGTGTAGATATAAGGTTGCGTTTTGCTTGGCGATGTCTATTTTTACACCTACACAGTGACGGAGGGCATAGACTCTTATTTTCAGAAATATTCTCGTGCAGCGTAAAGCAACACGCAACTGTGTAAAATATATTAATTTTATTAAATAGAACTTTCAAGACTTCATTTGACTTTTACAGTACTCCGAGGCGTCCGGTGTCAACGAATCATTCACTCCGATGCAGCTCTCCTGCGATGAAAATGTGAGTAAAATATTTTATTACAGTCTTATTACGACTAGACCGGCAATTCAGAATAAACACTCACTGATCGCGCGGGCTCACAGCTGGCACGGTAAATATGCCAAGCAGTTGTATTATCATTTACGAGTGGAGTATTGTAGTATTTAGGCAATTACCATATTAAGTGACATACTTATCTGAAATAAACTTTTAATCACGTTGAAAAAGTGCGCACGTATATAATGACAGAGTTTTCTTAGTCACATTAATCAAAATCAGTGTTAGACTGTCGAAAACAACTTCGCGGTTTATAAAACAAAGAACAAGTTTTCTCTTCCGCTCGCAGTCGACAAAAGGAGTTACGGAGAATTGACCGTAACTTAGCGCGTTATGTATTAAGGCCGCAGGGCTCGTCTAGCAGTATATATGGAAATCTTTATTACAATTTAAAAGAAATCATAATCTTCTTTACATAATTATTGTGTATTTATGACTTCACCACTAAAACACAAATTGAATTTATACCTTTTATTTATTGACAACACATTGTCAAATCTAAGTTTTTTCAAAAGCCCCCAAGATGGCTTTCATACTCTACAATAATAACTTTAAATGTTTAAAGGTATGATCTGATGAATTAATCCATTTTAATTAATTAATGTTGTTTTAAAATAAACTTTTCGAACATTTCTGATTTTTTCTGATGACATTTGTGAAGTTTTTGAGCCTATTTATTTATAGTAGTCATCCCTATAGTTGTTGTGGTCCAAAAAATATATTTCCACAATACACTATCTATCAATTATACAACTAATTACTATTACTCATTGTTATAAGACATAATTATGATATTGTTAACATACGTTGTATTCACATTTTCAGTCACCAAACAGTAAAAATACTTTCCTGGAGCTAGCGGATCAGCGGTTCAATGACGGGTGAGTGTTAAACACAACCAAGCATTTTGAATATAGCTACAACTATTATATATCAACTTATATTTTACCGTGCAATTTGCGCAGCACTTGGGATGACAACGGACAAGCGGAAGCGGATAACGACGCAGAGGGAGAGGCTGAAGAAGGGATAGATCCCGCAGTCGTCGACGAAATGTTCCAGCAAGTTACCGGTGAGCTTGGTTTTATTTCTTTTACAACATAACAGTCACCGGGTCCACCCAATAGTAAGTGCTATTCGCAGTTATCCCATGTACGGAATCGTAAATTCATACAATACACACTCAACATACTTGATATTTCGGCAACTCGTTCAAAAAAATATTAGAAAAGTTAGATCGATTTCTACTACATTAGATTATCTACGATATATATACTTATGTGATAAACGGTGTTTGTATCAAAGGTATGAAAATATTAGTTGAATGTCTTGCTACTTTATGTAAATATGTTACGGTTTAATGATTTCTTAATTCAAAACTTAATATTTGTTCAAAAACTGAAGGTAGGACTAACTATGACATTGCGACGTCAAAAATCTCTGTCCCCCGTGACCACGGGTGCTGTAAAGCACCCGAAACATCTGCAGTTAAAAACTAAGTTAAAATAGTGGATTAACGCGATAAAATCCGTGAATATTTTTATTCAATGTTATTGCCTATCCTAATGAATAATTAATAAATAAAAACCGAAACGGTCTCACGGTTTTCATCAACCTACAAGAATAAAAAAATTATTTGTGCATGACAATGCGTATCGATACAGATTTTTACGTAGTAGAGCCACTCTACAGCGCTATTATGGAACAATAATAAACAGGAATGAGTCGGCTCGACCGCAGTAGGACCACGTTCTCTCAGAATACCAGCGTAAAATAACAACTTAATGCTGCTTGCTGTGTTTCGTATGGTGAGTGTAGAGAACCGGAGACTTTCTCTGGAAACAAGCCATTCCATTTTAGTCCTCAAGAGTGACAACGCATCTGCATTTTCATTCTTAATTGAGATTAGATGTAGATGTCTATGGGCCACATCATCTACTTACCATTAGGTGCATTGTGCGCTTCTTTGTCACTCTGATTCTATAAAGAAAGCTGAAATGAAGTGTAATGTAGTAGGGATTCAACTGAGAAAGCGTAAGTTAAACGTGGGTTCCATGCATCCATTATTGTGTACAAAACACTGTTGAACATAGACCTCTCTCACAGATGTCCTCATGGACAAGGGACACGTGACGTGGGACGCGGCAGAAGACAACGCGACGGACGGCACCGAGTGGGCAAATTTCGAGGACGCTTTTGCGAACCCCGTTGACCCCTTCGCCCCCGCCACTGAGCAGCACTCCTTCCAGCGACAGGACTTCTCGCCCTTCTGGGCCTACGGCGACCGCGTCGACGCTGAACGTACGTATTAAGGTTTATATATAACTTATATAACTTACTTCTGGAAAACTTCGAGATCATAGTAAGTAGAATTTTTTAAAATTTATTGATACGGCTTTTTACGTGATAAAGCTACGCTGCAGCTATTTTATGGCTGCAGCACAATCGGGTTGAGCTTGAGGCTTGAGCGGGAAGGACCACGCTTTCACAGAACACCAGCATGAGATAGCAGCTCGATGTTGTTGTGGTTCATATGGTGAGTAGAGAATCGGAGGCTAACTAAACTAACTTTTTAATTACTCTACTTTTATTATAGTAGTTATATTTAATATTAATATTGTAAGACGCTTAAGGTTCGTGACAATAAAAACTGCCGATTGAATTACCAAAATTGACACTTTAATTACCGAACACCAATTAAAACTTAAAACACAGTAATAATTAATCACACTTAACACTTTAGTTCACTTCATTTCGCTCCGAAGTCTCCGCTTGAATCGTCAATTCAATACTCTCCCGGTCGCGGCCTTAACCGGCTTTATATAGGCCTTTTTCACTGAAACATCTAGAATTTTCGAGCGGAATGTCGTAAGTTCTAGCAAGGAATTTTCTAGAAAGCTCTCCTAGTTCTGCTACTCCATACTAGATGGTGCTAGTGAATTTTCAAGGAAGATCTTGACGCTTCTATTTCTGCTACTTTATACTAGTTGGCGCTAACAATCACCCGCATTGCACGCAACAATATTATTAAATCATTTAAAATATAAAAATATTATTTAAAATTCGTTATAGTTGTTATATGTTATATTAATATTATTAAATTAATATAAAATTAGTAAATATTAATTTAATAGTATTAATATAAAATATAACTAATATTTCACAAAGAAACCCTTACATTTTCCAAACAAAAATAACTTCAAACAAAAACAAACTATGAAATACATATGTATGTCAAATATTTCACATCATTCCTAAGTATGGGGCAAATGAGGATCGGCCCTAAAAGTACCAGAAATCTAAGTTTTCGTTGTAAAAAGTCTTCAGCGTAGTTCAGGTGATTAGTGGCGGAACTGCTAATGTAGAGTTGGTTAGAAAAATATTACTTTAAAACAGTTAAAATTGCATGAGCACCCTTTGGCTTTAAATATTGTTGTGCTTAAAAGTTTGGAGTTAGATTGGAGTTTTTAGCCTGGTGTTTATAGCTGTTTTGAGCTTTTGAGTAACAACCGGACGTAACGTAATGTTCATGCATCAACACAATTTTTAGGCTTATATGTCGAGTAACTTCTATGTATAAATAATTTTAGATATTTTTTATTATTATTATTATTTACTGCAACCCAGGATATTAATGTGTCGTTATTTGGATTTAAGATAAGGGAAAAAAATATTTTATTAATTTTTCGTTTTTCCGGATACAGTTTTCCAGTTGTTCGGATGAAATATTGCCTAGATACTTCCTAGCATTGTTAGTAAAGTTTTGTCACAATCGGGTCGGCCGTCCCAAACATTAGCCTGGACAGACACAAATATTTTGAAATGGTTGTTTATGTGTTATTAGTATGGAAACTTCAATATTTATATGTATAGATAGCCATCGATCCTATTTTAAAAAAAATTTAAATTGATGCTACTAAGTATCATAATTTGTTTCTTGTTATTTTATTTAAAATCAAAGTACAAATGGAAAACTTAGCCAATGAAGATCCCACGACAAATGTTATTCTTAACACATAGTAGGTACATAGGATGTAATAAAAATAAGTTAAAGCTTTAAGTTTGTGTTCAGTATTTTTTGTTCTATTAATAAAAATGACAGAACTATAAAATAAAATTATCGGCCCGTGAGGTCCACGTGTGGTGAAGTTCTAAATTAACTGTATCCGCGACTGGTCGTTGCTGCTGGCGATAAGTGTTAAGGATTATGGTGATAATTAAAGATATAATACTTTGAACATAAAACGTGCTTTTTATTAACCGCAAAACAACAACATGGAGAGCCTATAACGTCATATTGAATCTTCCTTCATAACCACAGACACAGTGTTGACAACCGACACAGTGTTGCCATTAAAATACAATATTATATAAATCATTGTTAATTAACACCTCCCCCCCCAATGATTTATATTAACAGAACTAACATTATAATAATTTCAAACATTACAATGAATAAGTAAGAACTAACAATACAATGATTTGCATTAACAAAACTAAAAAACTAAAAATACACAATGCGAACTAAACTCTATTCCAATCCTAATTTATGTACAAAATAATTATGAGAGTTTTATTTAATGGTTTCGTAAAAATATCAGCTATTTGTTGCTTTGTAGGTATATACATAACACAAATTTCCTTACATTCTATTTTATGTTTAATAAAGTTGTATTTTATGTCCACATGTTTCATTCTTTTTTTGATCAGGATTACATACAGAAAATATTGTACTTTTATTGTCTTCATATATGGTAGTGGTATTACAACTAACGTCTAACTCATTTAATAATTTCCTAATCCAACAAGCCACCAGAGCGAGCGGCTTCATTGAGGGAGTATAACTCTGCCTCAGTAGTGCTTAAAGCTACAGTGCTCTGCTTTTTGCAACGCCAAATAACACTGTTATCAAATACTTTAAATACATAACCAGTTATAGATTTCCTATCTTTATCTACAGCAAAACTAGCATCAGCATATCCAACTAGTGCAACTTATTATATTTTAAATTATAATTAATGGTACCCTTAATGTGTCTTAAAATCCTTTTCAAGCATTGCCATAACCTTTCTGATGGTCTAGATTGATATATTGCTAAATATGAAACAGCAGCACACAAATCAGGTCTTGAACCTACTACAGCATACATTAAAGAACCTATACAAGCTCTGCATTTATGCTCTAAAGAGTAATCAACCGTACAATCATCAAGATTAACATTAACTTCCATGGGTGATTCACTAGCATTTGCTTCAGACATACCAAACTTTGTCAATATAGGTTTTAAATACTCTTTCTGGTTAATATACAAACAGTCACTATCTTGAATAATATTAATACCCAGATATTTTAAATTTTTAGATCCTAGATCTTTCATTTTAAATTCTGTGCTTAAAATTTCTTTAACATTATTTATCCTTGAATTGTCCTCACCTAAAATTAATAAATCATCCACATACAACAAAATGTAAATACCATCCTTAAAATATAAACAATAATCACTTTCTGCTCTTTAAAACCCTTTACCTTTCATAAAATCATAAAATTTATTGTACCAATTTTTTGATTTTTTAAGACCGTAAAGTGATTTTTTCAATTTCAAGACATAATTTGTATTTATATTTACACCAGGTGGGGCTTTAAGTATACAACATCATCAATTTCACCATGAAGGAAAGCACCTTTAACATCCATTTGATGAATTAAATAGTTCCTTTGAACAGCTAATGATAAAAGAACTCGGAGAGTTTGTAATTTCAAAACGGGAGAATAAATTTCTGTAAAACTACCTTCCTGCTGAAACCCCCTTGCAACTAATCTAGCTTTATATACATTACCCGCCTTTTTTGTAAAAATCCATCTACAATCAATTAACTTAGCATCGTTTGGTCTTTCTACAACTTCCCAAGTCTTGTTATCCTCTAAAGATTTAATTTCTTCATTTACCGCTTCATACCATCTATCTTTATCGTCATAAGAATCTATATCATTATATTTTTCTGGGACATTACCATTAGAACAAGATAAAAATGATGCCATTAATATATCACCTAAATCTGAATCATCAGTGACAAAATCTTGTAAATATTTTGGTTTAGTTTTCTTTCTTTTCTCCCTAGAATTAACATTATCTGTATCCCTTCCCTCAGGTTGTAATGACTCTAAATTATTATCAGAAGTTAAAATTTTCACAGTACCATGGGTTTGGGTTTTATCAGAAATTAAAGGGGTTTTGGTTTTCTCAGGAATACTACCACCATCCTTCTCCTTCCCATCCGAGATAGACTCCACGTCAATACTAATCGTTTCAGGGGACTCTGAACATGTTTCTTCCCTAAACAATACGTTTCGTTCTATGCGTATCCTCCTTTCATTAGCATCCCATAATCTGTATCCCCCCAGAGCATACCCAACCATTTTCAATTTCACACCACGAGGGTCTTTCTCCTCCCACATTTCAAATGGTGTAACATTAAGGGAAGCAGTGGGACTACGTTAGTGACATATACCGCATATCGCAGGGCCTCGCCCCAAAACTCTTTAGGAAGCTGTGAATCTAACAATAATGCACGCGCCTTTTCAGTCAGAGTACGATTCATTCTTTCAGCTACTCCGTTCATTTCGGGGTTATATGCAGTAGTATACTGCAATACTATGCCTTTTTCATCACAAAAGGATTTAAAATTTCTAGAAATATACTCACCACCATTATCTGATTTTAACTTCAATATACCATGACCAAAATGATTACTAGCATAATTATAATAAGTCTTAAAATATTCAACAAACCGCAGACTAGTCTCTTAATACGTAAACTGCGGTGAAGTGGGTAAAATCGTCTATGAAAGTAACAAAGTGTTTATACCCGTCCCACGTAGAAGGGCTAACATAACAAACATCGGTACGTACTAGTTTTAAGGGTTTCCTAGCCGTATACATTTTCCCATTAAAAGGAAGGCGTGTAATCTTAGCAAGTATGCATGGTTCACAATGCCTATTTTCTAAATTTTTTTCTTTCAAATCAGTTAAACCATCAACCATATTTTTATTTACTAAAGTTTTCAAACTACTATAGCTTAAGTGAGAAAATCGTTTGTGCCAAATTTCTACTGAATTATCATTGTTGTCTGATTTTGCACCATAATAACAATCATTAAATATTACTTTAAATTCTACAAAATAAACGGACCCTAGTCTATGCCCAACCATAAGCAATTCATTGGTTTGTGAGAAAACTTTAACTTCCCCTTTATTGAAGATGATCTTTAAACCATGCCTTTCCATATTGGAAACAGATAATAAATTTTTTCTTAATTGTGGTACATAATACACATCATTTATATAATATCAACTTAAAATCACTTAAATAACATTTTATTGTTCCTACACCAACAGCGTCTAAATCAACGCCATTTTGGCAGCTGAAATTTTAATTGGCTTATCCAGTTTACAATAATTAAAGAATATACTAATGTCATTTACAAGATGAAATGAACTACCTGAGTCAACAACCCATTTAAAACTATTTTTATTCTTCTGTTCGGTGTCAGGGCTAAATGACATAAAACTTACAAATTTGTTACCTTCAGTATTTTCAGTGCCTGTAAGAAATGACTTTCCTCTACCTCTCCCCTGGGTTCGATGACGAGTTGCCTTAATGTCGTCTCGGCCTCCGTTTTACTTCCAGTCGCTACGTCAACGGCCGTGAAGTCTCCAGTCGGCCAGTCCTGTGTCGTGCCTGCTGAGTGCTCCTACACTGGGATTTTTTGTGTCCGGGGCGTCCACATCCATAACACAAGAAGATTGAAGAGTCAAGAGATTTGGTCGCTCCTCTGTTCCGTTTTTCCTCTTCCCCAAGCAGTCTGTTTTCCACGAAGTCCATTTTCAATTCCTCCAAGTTTCCAAAGCCGTGATAATGCCTTCATAAGATTTCGGCATGGATAGGAGTAAATAGTTAACCTTTTCTTCCTCCGAGAGCTCACTGCCAGCATCCCTAAGTTGTGCAAATAGCTTTTTCATGTCAATAAAATGTTCCATTAAACGTTCCGTTCGTCGAATTTCATATCGGACAACTCTCTTCTTATAAATAATTTAGATCGTGTACCTTTCTTCTTAAAGCTGTCTTCCATGCTTTTAATCATTTGATAAGCAGATCTGTCCTTTAAGTATTCGAGGTGACTGTCGGCGGTTGCCGCTATTATGATAGCCTGGGCCTTAGCTTCCATTTGCAATTGCTTGTTATCCGTAGATTTACTGAAATCTTCCTTTTCGATCGCCTCTATTGCTTCATTATCCCGCAGGATACTTTTTAATCGAAACTCCCACGCGTTGTAATTGTTCCCCGCGAAAGGGACAATTTGATATTTTTCTTTTGACATTTTCTGTCCTTTAACACTTATTAATGCACTATAAAACTGATGCCGTCCTGGGCCCATAACCTTGTTAAGGATTATGGTGATAATTAAAGATATAATACTTTGAACATAAAACGTGCTTTTTATTAACCTAAAAACAACAACATGGAGAGCCTATAACGTCATATTGAATCTTCCTTCATAACCACAGACACAGTGTTAACATCTGACGCAGTGTTGCCATTAAAATACAATATTATATAAATCATTGTTAATTAACAATAAGGAGGCTCGTTATTTCTCGCTCAAAGACTAAGTAATAGTCATTCAGCGAGGAAACGCAGCCAGCGTTCTTGACACGCTCATAATTATTAGTTTTAGTTTGTCAGAAGTGAAAATTTCTTTAGAATCGGTGTTATTTAGAACTGGATGAAACAAGAAAGCGCCACTAAAAAGAGATAAACATATACAACATATCAAAATGAGTTCGGTTTTTTGCTGGTTCTACCCAGGACAGAAGGTTTTTTCCGAATCAATGGTTAATAAAAAGTGACTTTCAATACGTATTATGCAATAATCTATATTGAATAAAAATTATTTATTTCATTCATTTTAGTTAATGTACAGGATATTTATTTATTTATTATTTATTTAAAAACTTAAACGTAACACCTTAAGTTAAAGGGGTACATAGGGCGGACTTAATGCCATGTGGCATTCTCTGCCAGTCAACCCTGGGTGCCAAGGACAATTGTTGGCAGGTGCGACCATTATATGTAAATAATTACATTAAAATATATACATACATTAAAATATACATATATGCAAAGTACATACATACACATTACATTTAAGTATATATACACATATAGTATAAATATACATACAATAATACATACATACATACATACATATATATATATATATATATATATATATATATATATATATATATATATAATATATATACATGCTTATAAACTTCGTAAATAAATATACAAATGAATGATATATATAATATGATGTTTGAATAATATATAATGAAATAAATATCTGAAGTAAAAAAGAAGAAATAAAGACAAAAATTAAGGAAAATAATGTTAATTAGTAGTTTCCTTCAGGTAATGTTCTCGGAGAAGAACTTTGAAGACTTTTTTATTTGCGGCATTCTTAATATCGTTGGGGAGGGTGCTCCAAAGTTGTATAGCTTGTATCGTAAAAGACGACCTAAAAAAATTTGACTTATGCTGTGGAAACCTTAACCTCAGACGGTTTGACTGTCGGGATGTTCGACCGTCGATCGGATGAAGAAAATGAAAATTATCCTTAAGATAAGAGGGCGACCTTGGATCGTTTAAAATTGAATAAAGTACAAGTAAAATTCTAGAGCATCGCCTTTGACGTATAGGTAGCCATTTAAGCTTTGAACGATAAGATGATATGTGGTCATACTTACGTAAACCAAAAATAAATCTTATGGAATTATTAAGAAGGCGCTCCAACTTGTTTAGAAGATTTTCTGACAGATCTGGGTAACATACATCGGCATAGTCGATAATAGGTAGAATCAGGGAATGAACCAGCGTAAGTTTGGTTTTGAAAGGTAGGAAATTTTTAAGACGATAAAGGGAACGCAAGGTAGCAACAACTTTACGACTAACTTCAGAGATCTGCAATTTCCAGGTCATAGTTTTATCCATGTACAGGCCAAGATTTATATATGATTCCCATTAGGATATGTAATATATGTTTCCCATTGTTGTTCTCTTTGTGTGGCGCTTTAAGGTGAATAATATAACTCTAAACTGTTGAAGTAAAGCGTTCAAAAATTAACAAATATTATATTAAATTACTCTATGTGTGTATATGCCACCTTGGGAGTCAATAAATTTTTGTTCGATAAAGTAACTGTTTATAGAATGGAGTAGATGAGCACTATTACAAAGCATATTTCTGAAAGTTTCATTTCTACCGCGTGTGAACTGAACGCATGTTATGATTTATTAATTTTGTTAAATATCGTACATATTTGTATGGTATGTAGATAAATAAATAAACATTACAAAGTGGTATTTTAATCTTGCAGATTCTAATTGCCAAAGCGGCCTGGAACAATCCATGCAAGGCATGAACTTGGGTAACGAGTTCGAAACGAAGCCAATCGATGAAGCTGCGACGGCGGAGCTCACGAACAACTTGCTGACCGCCATGAGTTCGATGGCGCCTGACGTCATCGCGGACATCGTCAGCGCCATGCCGCGAGCTGACGAGCCACTCGTCGAACCGCGCGCCGTGCAATCCACCGAACAATCTACTGAACAATCCTCCGAACCAGCGAACTCCGAATCGGCAGCCGACAGGTGATCCGTTATGGTTGCGTAGCACCGTTGTGATAGTTGCGGACTCTTGTGGAACAGCTTCACGGCCTCCAATACTGACTATTTTTGATCATTGCACTTAACGATTGTTATTGGGGTTCATTCCTTTTGTATATTTATTTCTATAAACAGTATACACTTCTTCTATAATGATTTCTTATGTTTACTCGAACGCTAACTAACACTAACTCGAAACTAACTTTTACGCATTTATCGCGTATGTTAATTTATTTTATATTCCCGACGTTTCGAGCACTTTACAGCACCCATGGTCACGTGTGGACTGAGCTTCGACGTCTCAGTGTTATAGTTAACCACGGCTACCGTCACTTTAAAATTGTTCATTTCTGGTGCAATCTACGCAGAACGAGCTTATAGTATCTTGAAGTCTTGTATGCTTGAGTTGGGATTTTATTTTAGTAATTGTAGGATGCCAAGCAAATGCTGGCACCCAGCCGCCTTCTCTTTTGAATATGGGTATAATAAGGAATATAAAATAAGTTAATATACGCCATAAAATCCGTAAAGAAATAGTTTTATATAAACTTCGTTCTTGTTCCATGCTGCTCCAGTTTAGTTTCACATTTAAAATAAGGCTCAAATGCCTGTAACCTTCGAAATAACCTAATGTTTGTAAATCTGTTCCTAATGTACGTACAAAAAGCACATTTTTAAAGGACCAATCAACTCTTGGAAATAGTACGACGGCAAATTTAGTTCGTACGCTTAATTTAAAGAAGCTACTGACTAAACAGATAGTGTTTAATGAATTTTCTCAGTGTTTAATAAAATACTAAAATCCTATGGTTAACTGACCAGCAGAGACTCAAGTGAAGTCACAATCTTTTTTATAAAACTTCTTCCGTTTACTGCTCATCAGACAATGTCTGTGAGTTTATATCCTCACTAGGCGTGAGATAACTAACAAAAGTTAAGTAAATGGAATTGAGCTTAATAAGTGAATGTGTTATGTGATGCCATCTAGGACGACATTTTTAACTCTCACTGTCCCATTTTTTACTTTAATATCAGCACCTTGTTCCACAAAGTGACTTGCGTGTTAGTGAAACAATTAATAGTATTTGTGTAACGGTATTTTAACTTTAATGGGCTAGTTGACACGTCAATTGATATTAATTTCATGAATCAAAATGAAACCATAGAAATTTGATGGCCTGTACATAACATCATTTTTTGGGTATGTTCCGATATACACGGCGACCACTGTAAGGTGTAACGTCAATTCAGTATACTGTGAAGCCGTTCCTTTTTAGTTTGCTGTTATACTGGTTACTGTTTAAAACTGTACTTAGTCCAGTATAGTGTCATTTTTGACACTGTTTCCAAATGAAAATGTTTATCATGTACATGTTTTCTGTCCAACCACAAAAAAAATATTATTTGAATGTTGTTGATTTTAAAACTTAATGTCCAAGTTTATTTGATTAATAATCTTAATTAATAATAATAACAATCATTCGTGGAAGCTGTTTTCAGATTTTTGATCATGTGATTAAAGTATTGAGAGCACCTTCCCTCGAAAGCGCCAATGCTCACTGTACAAAAATGGCGGCGATTTATGACGTCATATATTTCCCAAGGGTACTGCGGCACTGCCGCAGTATATACTGCCAGTATACTGCCGTAGCGGCAGTATAATGGCAGTTCAGTCAATAACGGAACGAATTTTTCAACAGTGAGAACACTGAGCAGTGCTCGCAGTGTAATATCGGAACATTCCCCATAACAATTGTTGACAGACTTAGCTGTCATTAAAGTAACACACATAGACAGTTATTTGAAGTCTGTCACTAATGTGGATAATAAATTAAAATAATTAAACAAATTCTTTTTGGAAAGTAGTGAGCTTCGTGAACACTATTATGATAATCTGTAAAAGTATCCTAGGTCATAAATTATTTCCTCCCCATTGTGCTCTTAATGTAGGTAGAGTTAATTGTATTGCAATATTAAACAATTTATAATATACATTACTGATATTGTGAGCTTCCTAAAAGATAAAACACATTCGTAGTTAATGCAATAATTCAAATATTACCTATATTGACTCAATTGAAATAATTATATCAACGTCCCGTTTTAGTGTGATACTGCAGAATTTTGTGATATGTTTCTTTGGGAAAGTTTGCAGCCATTGGTTGTATATAAAAAAAATCCAAAGTCTTTGCAAAAGTTATAATGAAACCTGTACAAAATTATTGCATTCTTGCCTTTATATCCCAATAACAGTTCATTTAGAATATGAAAAGAATAAAAAACACAATTTTCTGGAATATTGTTCATTTCTAGTGCAATTTGTTTGTTCGTCAATATTAATATAAACTGTGATGTAATTGTGCTACGCGCGTTATTACTAAAGTAATACATTTATATCTCGATATTAGTGTTAAGAGTGCGTGCGCTCCACAATAGTTGGACTTGCTGTCCCCAGGTTACAGCGTTAAACAGGTTTTGAGTTCGTAGATTAATAAATTTTCCTTTATTTTGATAATTTTCGTTTACTTAAAATTATAATTTGTTTACGTAGTTTACATCCATAGAACTGTTATTTAAAATATTTAATTAACTAAAGCCCACCGGTTTTGATGACAACTCAAATCAACAATATGAACATAACAAATCAATGAGTGCCATTTGAGACAGTCCCCTGTCGCGATTTCATACATGAGTTTTGAACAAAAGATTTTTATGTTTTCTAGCTACAATGCTCTGGTGACTTTCTAACTTCAATTCTAAAAAGTCTGGATAAATTCTTTGTGAGCGTTGAATAAAGTGAGCGCAAGAAACTATAAGATATAATCTGAAACATTATAGGATTTTCTGTAAAGTTCAGGGTCATTCTCGAAGATTCCAAACACGTTTTCGCCACCCACACCCATCCAAAGTCGATCTTCGCCACTAAACTCTTAAAATCGATGAGAGACCAAGAATTATTTACCAGGACGTTGGGTAGTGTAGAGAAAACTTAAAATAAAAAAATACAAGTAAATATTTACGTTATTTCTACTTTTATATACAAACATTATTGCAATACATTGATTTAGCATATTCTCGAAATAATTAAATTTTAGTCTTTAATTATTGTAGAGTGCTACGCAGGTGTAATGTAGAGTTGTATGTTAAGCCGTGTTCCCAAGTTTTGCTCGTGTTCAAGTCAGATTTCAATTAATATCTGATGTATATATCTACGATTGTTGTATATTTAGAATAGCAACATGTAGTCTGTACTTTACATCTAGCTAAGTTTCTTTGGTAGTTTAAGTGGATATCCGAGCGGCGTTTAGTCCATTCAAACGTACTTCTCTGTTTTCTCCCTGAATGTTTACCATTGACAAGTTCCTGTTCTTTTATATATATTAATTATTTGGAAACTAGAAACCTTTGAAAACGTTATGAGATAGTCAGCATACAAATATAATAAACATAAAGTGTAAAAGAAAAAAAAATAGAGACATTTACACAACCCTCACATTATATTAGTTTTGAAAAAAAGAGTGAAAGTCTGTTCAGTTTTGGAGGAGGAAACGAGAATACGGACTGATAATTTTATCTATTTTCATTCAGCTGCCTCCCGGTAGCCTGGTTCAGTCGATGAAGCAGGTCGGGACAATAATAGGTCGATAAAAACCTATTCAATCAGTCAATCGTCAATGTTTTCTGCAATGGTGTTTAAGTGTTTACTAAATAAAGGTATCCTTTGTAGTAGTATGTTCGATAACGTGCATATAATTACATCTTTGACTATTAAATTCTATGGAAAAATATTTTAAGGGTCCAAATTCCTCACAAACATTATAAAATGTACCCAACATATGTCTCTTTATTTGTAATTTAAAACAGTGGTTCTTAACCTTAACTTTATTTAACTTAGTCCATGGACCGTTTGTGGTCCCTGAAGGCACCCAAGGTGGTCCGCGAAGGCATTATACAATCACTCAATGTAAGAGTGTACAACATTTTTATATAATGATTTCTTAAATTTAAACGAACACTACACATTGAATAAAAGTATTAACTACGGATTTTATCGCGTTTAATTACTACTTTAACCTATTTTTATTATCCTGACGTTTCGGGTGCTTTACAGCACCCATGGTCACGTGGGGATTGGGATGTTTGACGTCCCAATGTCATAGTTACTCCAGTTACCTTCAGTTTTTTAATATTTTTTTGGTCCGATTATAAGGTAGTTTTGCGTAAATCGGACCAAAAATTAATATTAAAAAACTAAAGATAGCCGAACTAACTATGACATTGGGACGTCAAACATCTCAGTCCCCACGTGACCATGGGTGCTACTAACGTGACTAACGTGATAATAAAAATAGGTTAAAGTAGTAATTAAACGCGATAAAATCCGTAAATAATAAATTTATTCAACATTTTTATAGTTTATGGTCGTTTTGCGAATACTACCGATATGGTTTATAATAGAAGGTATTGACGTTACATTAAAATATGTTTTTGGTTTTTACTTTTAGGGCAAACTTAAATCAACCTTATCAACAAAAAATCAACCACATCATAATTTATATTTGTCTAAAAGATTTTGGTCCACACACACAACACTAAAAATTTAAGAACCACTGCTCTGCAACGAGAGAGATACGCGTATGATTTCGCTCCAGTAAATTCATATCGAATTAAATATATCAGTGGACATATCGCTGGCTAGCGCCACGTCTCTCGGTACATATGTTAGCTGAATATCACATTTAGATTTAGTTGGTTGTGATTATGTTCGTTACAAAATGTTGCCTACGTTTGAATCTTGCTTTCAACTGAAAAAGGAACATAGGTTTTTAATTTCTTCCCGGTATTGTCGATGTTGTCGTTTGTTTTCGAAAAAGTTTATATATAATTAATTGAGATACCGAGCCGAATTAAAAAAGGTTAAGTTTTTGTTTGTATGGATGTCACGCAATATCTGTTGTGAAGATATAAGTTGTGAACCGATATTAATGT